CAGGCTTTGCGTCGTCTGATTTTTATTTATTTCGCAAAAATATCAAAAAGGGTCTGTAGGTTCGGATTTGGGAAAATTTTATTCGCCATCGACGAATAAAAATTTCAGATTCGTTCGTAAACATTGGGTCGAGGCTAGCTTTGGAACGAATCTAAAATTTCTATTCGTTAATCGCGAATAAAATTTGCCAAACTTCGAATTTCCCCCAGTAGCTCGTTCGAGGGAAACACTCCAGACCACGCCAGCGACTTCGAAAGATTCTGAAGGAAAAATCCATTCGAGATACGTTGTTGGTTCGTGTGCGCAGATCGACCAACAATGTTGAAAGTCTGAAAGTCTTTCGACGAGTCTTCCCCTCTTGGAGGTGGTCGTGAATTGTTATCGCATCGGAGATTGCATCGAGGATTCACGCTCGTAAATACTAATTCCGAGTGAAAGAGATAGAAAGAGAGTAAAAAAAAAGGGGAACACCACGACTCTTGCACCTAACCCCCTTAATCAGACTTTACAATGGAAGTCGAACCGCAGAATTTTCTCGTTCGAACGATTCCAGATGGAAATTACTACCCTCGCGGTCTCGTTCGCACGAACAACGAAATTTTCCGTGTATAAACCCCCGCTGCTTTCCCGGGGAACTTTGCATTGTTATTCCGTGCGGAGTGCACGGGAACTGGATAAAGTTACGTTATTCCAGGATCGATTGTACCTTGCCCGAGACATTTCGCGTCGTATCTTTTCAGCCGTACGACTTCTTCGGTTATTTGTTCTCTCGGTCGTGTTGCGTAATCGTTACGAAACGGGGAGAAACCGTGTTCGATAGAGGCGACAGTAGCATTTCTGGTACCGGGCAAAACAGAAAAATTCGGAGCTATTTATTTATTGATTGTGGGTCTTTCTGGATCCAGGATCCGAAATCCCGTATTTAAAGTTACAGAACTCACCCACGTTATTTGTTTGCTATTTGTATTGATGTATGTTACTATAATTGTTCGATCGATTAGCTACCATGATCCCCGTTTGAAACTTATTTTGATCAAATTGTTTTGCAAAGGTTTCAAAAGGTTCGATATACGTCACAATTAAAAAAAAATCCTCTAATTTATACGTTCTCTTGTGGATGTTAAGCGGGTTTAAAATTACGATTAAATTGCTTATCGTTGCACGCACGTTATTCATCGAGAGAGCAGGGAAACTCGTTGGCCACCAACGACCTTGCATTTCCGAGACGGAAAATAATCAGCGGCGCAATATGGTCGACCCTTTCATCCATATTCATTTAATAAGTTTAATTGAATTTTATCGCCGACCACGAGGCACCAGGTTGCTGCATTTGCAAGAGGGCATTACGCGGGGTAACGGGTCAACCCACGGCTGATTAGCATAACCGCTATCGCCACCGTTGCCACGGCTAAACGACGTCCATTCCGAGCGCGACGTCTCGGCTAAATGCGACACAATTCTTCAACAGGTGTTACACATCAGCATTAAACATTTTCTTTTTTCCTCCCCCCTCCCCCAACCTTTTAAAGCTTGGCTATCCTGTACCGGGCAAAGAAGTTAGTTGCAAAATGGCCACGCCGTCGTGACCGAGCTTCCGAGCTAAGTGGCCATCTTGTCGCGGAACGCTATGGGCGCGTTACGGTTTCGTAAACTTGAACGCTCGAGAGAATAATCGCCATAATCGTCTGACCGTGAGCAACGATAATATCCGAAAGTACTAACTACTCGAGCATCGTTATAGTCCTCGAATGGAAATGCGACGATTAGAGTAAACGCGTCGGTAATCGACAGTGACCCAGCGAACGAGGCTCCTCGAAATTTTGGCTAAACAAGCTACAAGGTTTATTTCGTTGTTTTAACCGAAATAAAGAAAAGTTATAGGCAATTATTTTTGTTAACCAGTGTTTTTAGTTACGAATAACAATTATTTATGTCCGCGATACAAGACAGATAAATTGATATAATCTTTATATCAGTTTCATTAATTCCTCTTATAGAGAGTGAGCCCCGTAGAATAGCCAAAAATTAAGGATCAACGAGAACGTCGAAGAGTTTAGAATAAAATATTGAGAAGGGTGTTCTTGGTACCCTGGTTATTGACACGAGGGTCAATTGATCGGGTCGCGTGTTTGACCTGGGAGCTGTATAGACACGAAAAGTGCCCATTCTGCCAACGAACCATAAACGGGCCAACTTAATTAGCAAGACCCCCACGCGGAGCTGTGTGTAAGTTTTCTTTCGCTCTCTTTTCTCGACGTGGTAAACTGTTGCTGGCTGCGAGCTACGATTGAGTCGAGATAATCAGTGAAGGGCCTTCTCGAAGCGTGTAGTGTCTACTAGTTTACCCTCTTATCGACTGTCCGGGCTTTGCCCGATTTAACCCGACCCATTCAAAATGAAGTGTGTGGATAATTACCTGCCACGCTTCTGCATCATCCCCCCTCCCCCCCTCCCCACCTTTAACACCGCCCACGACCTACCCAACCAGCGAGTGTGTCGCCCTTTTCAACGCGCTGCGATGTAGTTGGCGCGTTTCAGGTCACGCGTAATGAATTATTACGAGGCTCTTGCAACATTACCGAGGAACTATTGGACGAGGACGTACACTCTTGGTATACAAGAGCATAACGTCGATAAATTTTGAGAAACGCAAGTGAAATGTTCACCCCGGTTCTGAATGCGTACGATCGCCGCAACGTGACTCGATCGCGAATCTTAACACGTTATTAAAAGTCAAATATTTTAGTGTATCTTTTAAAAATATTGTAAAATGTATTAGAATGTATTAGAATTGTAATCGACTGGTCAGAATCTTCAAATAGTAGAGTACTCTAATTAATTCCAACAAAATCTGAAGTTTCTATATTTTTGCAACCGTAGAAAAAGTGTAAATAAATGATGATGTTTTTTAAAATTTTAAACGTCTTGCAGTTTTATCGCGGAATGTACGCGTATTTTTTAAAAATAGTTCCTTCGGCTTCAATTAGCAGAAAATAGTCGGGTTTAAGTGACTTTTACTCAGCTAAAAGTGTGCAGAAAATGGAAGGTAATAAAAGTGCATTCACGACATTTAATGCGTTTCTATTATCGTAAAGGTGAAACTGTCACAGGAGCGCAAAGAAAGATTTATGCAGCACATAGAAATGATGCTGGGAACGAAAATATCGCAAATGGTTTTCTCAATTTAAAGACGCAAAGCGATACCTTCATTGGCATTGAAATAAAAGTATCGACTGAAAATAATTCACAACAAGCGAGACAGATCGTTGATAAATTAAAGATCTCGAATAATATGTTTGTTAATTAACCTCCTAGAGCTTCAATATTTTTCCTTGAACAAAAACAAATATTATAATCTCAATTATATTAAAGAATTGAATAATTACAAAATTTGCTAATTACGTACGATAATATTTACTGACTCATTTTTAGCGTAAAAGTTTTGTGTAAAGAATAAATATAAACTCTGCGCGACATTTTGAAACAGGCGCGTTCAATGTGACAACGAATACGGTTCGAGCATTGTATTCCGTACAAATACCAACAGGAGGTAATGTTCTTCAAGATAATATTGTGTCTTGCGTGTAGAAATATGGATGGCGAGCCAGATGTCATACAAAAGTAAATCGGTAGTTTATTATATAATTAAATGTTTAACCTCTTCTTCTATGTCCTATCTCTGTCAAACGCACTTCTTTCTCGAACACTTCCGTATCCCGTGCTATCGTTTCCGAATCGCTTCAATCTTACCATAATTGTGCCCAAAATACCCTCCCACGAGAAACTCCCTAACATTAATAAAAATTCATGTTTCTACTCTTTTCTTCGTACACGCCTTATTCGTGGTGTCTCTGTATTTCTACATGTGCGCTCTTCTTCCCTTTCACGCCTCCCAATCGATGCCACTTACCGAGCTTACCGCTAATTTACATACCTAAGACTCTCACGGACTAATTAAATAAAGGAACTTACAGATTCAGTAGCGCAATTAGCAATTCTGGAAACCGATCATTGGTCTCCTTTATCTCAAAACTTTACTTCCATTCGTAAAATTGTATTAACGATAACATTTCCATTTTGATAGAGAAATCTTACTGCGTTTCTATTTTTCGGCTGAAAATAACCTTAGCAAAATAGTCTTTCGGTAAGAGAAAGTAACAGCAGCGGTGTTTCAAAAAAAATTTTTGCTAATTTTCACCATTTTATGGGATCCTCGTTGTGCTGAATTGTCAAAATAGAAATATATATTTAAAAAATGACATTCCATTACCCAAATATTCAAAGCTAATTTGTGATACACGAATAATCCAAACCCTATTAAACAGAATCGTTTCGATCAAGTGTTCAGGCAAATCGATAAATTGACAGAAAAATTTTACGAAAACGCTACAAATATCTAACTAAAATATAGAACTGTGATAATTTGGTACTCGGTTAAAATAAGCAGTAATACAACCGTTAACACTATTTTTACCGCGGTTTTACGCATACCTATTTCGACCAAAAGGTGGCATTTGGATACAAATAACTGTAGAAATAATTCTTAAAAAAAAATATATTTTATGGGAGTGAAAGAAAATCGTAAAGAAACGATTGAATTTTAGATAATAATTTGAAGTTGAAATTTTAAAGGACGTCTCTCGATTTCTTATTTTACCTTCTTTTTATTTCTTTCGATAGAAATAGTGTTAACGACTGGATACAAACACACCCGAGACTAGAGCAGCTCGAACACGTTTTACGGAACCTTCCTCGACGAAAAACGTGAAAGTTTCGCGCAGTCTTGGAAGTCTTGAAAGCCCGGTTAACGAGCCACGTTTATTCGAACGAACGTAGAATATCGTAAACAGGAAAACGGGCGAAGATTGGTCGATACCGCGGCGACAGCGACAAGCTACGTTGTTCCAAGGTTTTCAAAAGTTTCAAGACTCGCGCGTGATGAAATTAGAGATACGAGGAGTAAATTGGAACGTTCGATTGAGCCGGGAAATTGATTTCAGGTGAGGTCGAACGACTACTGCGAGAGTATCGACAAAACCAAGAGCTAGTACGAAATATCGGGGCCCATTACTATCAGATCATCTATCCGGTACAGTTACGGCATCACGAGAAAATGGGGATATCCACGAGAGAAGTCGGCGTACCGAAGGTAATTACCTTGTCCTCCACGTTCGATTTATAGGGAGCATCGCGCGAGAATTCACCAACGAAGTGTATTGTAAGGAGAAAGAAAGATCGGTTAACCAACAGACAATGCAGTATTTATGTTCTCAATGGCTAGCAATGCGCTCGAGGAGTCATCGAACCGTGTTTCTGTATTTTTCTTTTTCTATTATCTTCGATGCTTCTGAAATGGCTCGATGGACATTCCCGCAGGGTTCCGTCAAATTCGATTTTAACCCCTTGGCGTACCATTTAACTACTGGTCGTTTTTCAAATGTATACTATTCAATTTTATTTAAAAGAAGAGTAACGATGAGTCGAAATGTTTCTTTTCTCCTTTAAATGTATCTTGTGTAGTCTGGTCAACGAGACATCGATTTAATTGAATAAAAAGTATAAGTAGGAATATTTTGAAATTTTTGCAGAGATATTTATCGAGGTGTTTGATCGAATACATAAAAAATCCGACAGGTAGCTGTCGAATAATTTTCTACTTGCTATCCAAGACTGATCTTTCTTTCTTCCATCTGTACAGTGGGCGAACACATTATTAGTGATACATGTTAGACGTACATTCGATCGATTTAAAGCTCTGGTATTAAAATAATAAATATATAAACTATCGTGTATATTTTCATGTAAAATAAGAAAACTTGTTAAATTTTAATTTATGTCCCTTTCGTTTGTGACATTATATCGCGTGTTATTTTGCCATACTACCGTGATTAATAATTTGGACAACCATTGTATCCCGCGTGTTGTTTTGCGTCTCATCGAGAGAAAAGAAGACTGAACGCGCACCGCTATCACCGACATATTACGAACCTTGAGTTCGAGTATAATCCGAAACTTTATCACGTTTACAGTTTCCTCAAAGAGGTTTCGGCGAGGGTGGATATCAAAATTCTAGAAGCAGAATGAGAGTAAGTGCGCGGAAGTTTCTTACGTAGCGATTTAACGAGGCAAGTTTCGCGACGAGCTGTTCTCACTGATCGTGCGTTGTTCTTCGATTTTCAGACGGGGAGACACTTTCATCGGACGTCCCTTTTGATCAAGGCCTTTAATCACAAATTTCGCCTAGATTTAGAATTAAATACGTAAGTGATTACGGGACGCATCGATCTCGGCTTAGCTCGTAGATTGCACATCGAATATAAAATAAATTAATTTCAGAATCTAAATTGGTTTTCACGTGAAATGAAATTTTAATCTCTCGTAAATGAGAGACATAACGTATAAGTTCTCTTTTTTTTGTTTTGGTTTAAATGGTTCGCTGTACGAATACTTTTTTCCACTGGCCGTATGACAAGCAATTCATATTATCCGTTCAACTTTCTTTCGCTCGAGAGCCGAGGCCCCCGCCGTCCATAGTCTTTCGTCACGACAAAGCGAGGAAATAACAATAGAAAAGCAATTTACGCGAAACCGAATCGATGCGAGTTTCCCCGCCTCGCGAACACTCGCGGAAACGCATTCATGGTTACGAGGAGATTCTGTGTTGCAGGCAACTTTTAGCTCCGAATCTTATGCAAAGAAACTTTTTAGCCAACGGCGCCGAACAATCTTCGAAACAGGTAACGTGATGTCGATTCTCTTCCACGAATAGATCCCTGGCTCTCGTCGAGTGTCTCGTTACGAAAAATCTTTCCAGGAGATAGAGCACTGCTACTATCACGGCACCGTCAGGGATTATCCAGGAGCCAGCGCTGCTTTTCACACATGTAACGGTGTCAGCGGTATTATTCATTTAGGCAACGAGACCTTCGTCATTCATCCATTTTACGGCGGCGATCTGTCGGTCAGTGTACCTAATGCTGAATCTACTGAACCACCTAATCACCAACGAGCACCTCGATTCGTTCGCGAAACGTTTTCAAACTATATCACTAACTTACACAAGGCCCTTTTCAACAAATATAAAATAATTTCTTTTGTTACGAATTAAACATTTATTAAACAGTTATTCGAGGATATAATACGACACTATAGAACAAAATGTTAAAAATATTTGTGATCTATGTATGTAAAATGAAATACGTGAGTTTGATATACGAAAAATTAAATATATCAAACGCTAATTACGTGAGTTTCGTACAGTATCGAGTGAACCGAAGTAGCTGGCCGGCACCGAAGAGGTAGAACACTTTTCAAAGTGTAAATGGCACTATTAAAACTGCTACGAGACCTGCTGACTTCGTTTGTAGACTCCAATCAAATTACACAGCGTGAAAGCAGCATAATCAAACGAGAGCAAGGGTCGTTTACCTGATACTGGTTGTACCGCGACTGCTAACAGCTCATTACGCTCTCAATTACAAAACTTTGTCAATTTTCTGTTATCGCCGTCAACGCGTAGCTACGTTTTCGAAACATCCGTCGATTAAATGAATATTAAGAATCTCTCGTGTTACTTTGTACCTTCTCAATTACAACGAAACAGCAGATATTGCAAAACTGAATCGAGAGACGATTCCCGGGGACAGTTGCCCTATCGCTTCGTTGTGCAAAGCTATTTCGAGTAAAGTAAGTCTGTCAATAGCTTTTAACCCCCCATCATATTTCAATTTCGCCAAAATCCCCGAGATCGAGTAGAAAAAGTGATCGATTTTACGTGGAAACGCTCGGCTGGAAATCGTAACAGAGAGATAACAGTGTGGATAGAAGATTCGGGGGGCGGGGGACAAGCGCGTAAAGCATTCTGTCGGTTCGCGACGTTTGAAACGGATCCTGTGAACTCGACGTAGCTGTTCAGGACACGGCAAACACGCCTTGCCGCTTTAGATACAGTTTCGCGTGCACGGCAGACGAAGCGAGAGGATCGAGTTAAGCCGCCATCGAGCTGGCTCGACTCGTAAACGAGTAATCGGCAAGATGGCGGACTGAATTCTGAATTTGCTCGCTGTCGAGTCGCTCGTTGTTCGGCGCAGCTGTGTTCCCGCGCGTTTACCTAAGCGCGGCTACCATCGAGGAGGCTCGCCAGACCGGAAGTTTCCGTCGGACTCACCGAGACGCGGCTAATCTTCCGCGACGCGTTTCCTCCGGTTCCCCGTGAAAGACGACGCGGAGGAAACGGGACCATCGAGCCGTTCGTGCGTTTTTCAAAATATCGGAATCGTACAACCAGCAGAAACGGATGGGCTCTACGCTGCTATTCAACATTATTATATATATGTATAGTTAAGGAGAATAGGAAACTTAGGTGGAGTTCAAATAAAGCAAATAAGTACAAAGTAACACGAATTTCCACCAATTTTTAAAAAAGAAAATCTTGCCTCGGTTCTTTTTTATTTTTTAACACTTTCTTCTTAAATTTTTGCTTTTGTTCCTTCTAGTAATATGTACCCTGGTGGGTTGAAATCTATACCTATTACCAATCTGATGTGCATTTTCTTTTTGATCGTCTCTGGTTTGGTCACGAAATGGGAAAGGTAAAACGGGCTACCAAAATTGGAACCGCCTATTTTGGTACCACCCTGTATACGCAACTACGGAGAACGAAAGCGTGGCTCGCGTGCTCGAGCGCGTCAAGTGGAGAAAGACGTTGTTCTTATATGCATGAGCTACGCCGTCGTTATTATTCATGAAGACATCTCCAAGTAACAACGCGACGGAATGAAGGGAAAAAAATATAATTTCGCGCAACGTGTCACGGAGAAAATCACCGGTGGGTCCTCACTTTCCCGCGGCACTCGACCTACCTATCAAATTTCACGAGCTTGATTTTACGACTCGGTTCTTCGTCGATGCTTGTAAGAGCCTCGACGATCGTTCGTTCTAGAGAAAAGGACGAATCCAGGACGAGTTGGTGTTGAGTGGTTCTTTAACATCGTTGAGCAGGCATGTTCGAGCAAATCTATCGCGAACAAAGGCAAACGGTGGTGAAAATGTATGCATCTGATATATCTATAAGACAAAATTAAATTATTTTACTAACAATTTTAATTTACCAAAAAAATTATGACTTTTTATGCGTGTTTGTAATATGACGTTATATCTAGCATTTGCGTACTTAAAAGATGGTCTCTAAAATATTTTTAACTGGGTTAGAATACACCCAACGATCCCCGACATAATAGCATAGTGCAAATTGGCCCGAGGGCCAAACTGAATTTGACGTGCCCGCAATACGGCAATATGATCTACGCACACATTCATAAAATACACACAACCCTCGTTCCTTTACCTGCAAGAGACATGGTTTAAGCTCCCGAGGCGCTGGTGTAATTTATTACCCCATGAAATTCTTGCAAATATGTTCCGAAGTCGAGGCATTATATCGTTAAAAAAAATAATACCAATTGGCTCTTGACACACATATTTATCGATAAAATTGTTTGATGTTGTCGTTTTTACGAACATGCCTGACTCAAAGTAACGATTAATCGTGGTGAAAATGTTTGTCGCGCATAAGTAGGTCGTAATGGGGAATAAAAATCGGCAGAAGCCGTAATCGAATCGAAGGGGGGCAGCGAACCACCCGGAGAATGATAACTATATGCGGACCTCTCTTTTAGCAGAAACATCCTCACGTTATATTTGAGGCTCGAACGAAGGCTAATAAAGGCTGTGCCATCACGGGAACATTCAACGGGCATATAAAGAATCGCTGGCAGAAGCCTATTATGGAACTATCGGAGTCCACTTCCCATCGATACAAGAGAGACGTCCGTGACACAATCAAATACATCGAAACTGCCATCATTATCGATAAGGCTATGGTATAAGGATTTTTCGTTTCACTGCGTCGAATCGCGTAAAGGCGAAGCTAGACATTGCATTTCGGATGCGCATGATTCATCCGCAGTGAAAAGCGTAAACATTCTTTTCATTTGCATTTGAAAAGATGGAAAAATATGCTGAAACTATAAGTGTTTGTGGAACGCTCGTAATTTTTAAAGCTACTGAAATAAATTCGACCATCGAATGATCTGAATACTCCGGTTTTTATCGTTCGCGTTCGCTAGGAATTTTGCAGCCCGAGTGCAAAGTCTAGATTCGCTTTTGGAATCGTTGCGAGTCGAGAACCGGTACGATGATCGACATAATCGTTAAAAGGATGCTCGACAATGTCGTTCGTCGAGTTTCGCGGGGGCAGTAATTCAACGGTAATTGTTATGGGGAGCCGTTCGGGAACGATAAAACGAATCGATACGATCGGCATAACGATCCCGGGCGAAAATAAACGCGTAAAATGAATCGCGAGGCAGCGATTTTCTGAAAAATACGCGCTCCTGACAAAAAACGTTCTTCACCCTGTTCAGTTCGAGATGAGAAACGGTAGCAGCAGAGCGGAGGTTGTTCACGATGCCATCCAAGTCGCTAATATCGCGGATTTGGTGAGTGTCGAACATCGAAACGCGAAACATCCGATTCTCACGTACTAGGTTTTTTGATTAATCCCTTTTGCGATACTTTCGCGCCCTTGCAGTATTTCTATCCGTTAAAAACTAGAGTCTCCGTCGTATACATCGAAACCTGGCAGGGCAAGAACCAGGCAGCGATCGATAAAGGCATGAACATCGGTCTCGCTTTGCAATCGTTAAACGATTACATGATGCGAAGCGTGTACCATGCCACTCACGACACGATCCAGTTACTCACGTGAGTATCGGTATTGGCCACTTACAGTGGCTACCATATACTTACGAACAGTTCTTAACGTTAGACTCTCTTGTTGGTATAACTAAATTCCAGTCGCGATTTTTTAATGGCATGCATATAACACGTTAAAATAACTACAACTTTTCCAAAGCACCCGTATATATCGATAGAGATTAGCAAAATCACCCATACTGGATCACAATTCGAGCTACGAGAGTCGAAGAGATTCGAGATATGGTCGATTTGCAGGGGCGAAACGTTCTCCGGTGGGGAATCTGGAGTGGCCGCGCTATCGACGATCTGCAAACAACAGTCCGTCGGGATCAGCGTCGATCTGAACTCTTACGAGCCTCATCTACTAGCCGGTACCATGGCCCACATGATTGGCCACAATATCGGCATGGTCCACGACGACAAAAGTTAGTCTCGTTTCGTGGATTCGACCGAAACCAGCGAACAAAATAGCCCCCGTTTCGCTCGGACTGATCGGTGACAAATTGTTCGCAGGAAAGGAGTGTGACTGCAGAGACTGGCACGGATGCATCATGTCTCAATCGATCGTCGGCTTGGACAACATTCAACCGTACAAGTTTTCCAACTGTAGCAAAAACGATTACGTAGAGTTTTTAAAAGGGGGCAACGGCTTCTGTCTTTATAACAAACCAAACGAGGTAAGAACAGAGATTTCTTAACTCGGCCAAGTTTTTAATCACGAACGATCGCAGCGAGAACTTTTAGAATCGGAGTAGTAATTCGTAACCAAACGACAATACGAAGGGGAGATATTGGATTCGCTGGAAAGTAACAATAAAATTTTCAATAAGAAACTTTGTCAAACAACGTATAGACTATTTTGATCCACGATCTTTTACAACATTTCCATTTGTTTGATGATAAATCTTGAATCGACTCTTAAATTATTAGGTTTAATTACCTTTTGTAGAAATTAGAAAACAGTATCGAATGGTCCAATTAAAATTATAGAGCTCCATTTTAAAAGAGGATGTTCGATTATACAGGGTGTTCGGCCAACCCTAGGAAAAATTTTAATGAGAGATTCTAGAGGCCAAAATAAGACGAAAATCAAGAATACCAATTTGTTGATTGAGGCTTCGTTAAAAAGTTATTAACGTTAAAATTATTAATAAAATTTGTCCACCTTCACGAATTTTTTTCTCACAAGTGCATAGGATTTTGGGGGTATGTCTATTTATCAAGAATTCTTGTAATTGATCCCTAAAACTAAAAATAATTCTTCGAAGACGATTCGAAATTCTTTTTTTTTAACCAAAACTTTCAGCACCTACTCGAATTTTTTTCTCGAAACTGCGTAGGAATTTGAGGGAATTTCTATTAACCAAAAATGCTTGTAATTGACCCCTGCAACTGAAAATATTTTTTCCAGAATGATTTCAAATCTTTTAATTTCGTCGAAAAAGTTTCTGGTCGGTATGGAACTTTAAACGTCAATAAGTTTTTAAGGAAGCCTGTATCAAAAATTTGGTGTTCTTGATTTTCGTCTTATTTTGGTCTCTAGAATCTCCCATTACAATTTTTCCCATGGGTAGCCGAACACCCTGTATAGAGATATACGACTTCTTCCGGTTAAGAAGCAATTATTTATCGGCGAACCCAGTATTTATCGAACAACGAGCGATGAAACGAATCAAGCAAATAGCACGGGTACCAAAAGTATCTAGCCAGGTCGCGATATCACCCATATTAGCCCGAACTCCCTTATCTTTCGGCGCGAGCCGCCCCCGCCATCGGATTCGACGTTCTCGTTGGTTGCAAACGAAAGTCTCGGGGCGTCTCGTCTGAAAGAGTTCAAAGCGGATCGGTTCCCACGAAGGTAGACGTACGAAACGAACCGGCGACTCCTTTTCACGCAAAGGTGAATTAGCAAAGGGCGAAGTTTGAAGAAGACTTTGCCACGCCTTTCAGCGTGCACGGAAGTTCCTTATCTCGGTTCGTTGCGTCGCAACCTAATTTTCTATGGCAGAGCATTAAGCGGAAATGTAAACGGTCGGTTCTCTATTTTCGTGGCCCGGCCGACAACAGATAAATGTGCAGAGCACTTGCGGAAACAGGGTAATCGACGAGGGGGAACAATGCGATTGCGGATCGGTCGACGATTGCAAGAAAGTCGATCCTTGCTGCGAATCGGTCACCTGCAAGCTCACCTCGGAATCGGAATGCGCGAGCGGGCCGTGCTGCAACGACTGCAAGGTAACAATATTTTTCTCGTTGGTATCGCCTTTTGCTCGGGTTCCTTTTTATCAACAACGGATCTCGTCGATAACGCGTCAAACATTTGGCACGCGATTCCGGGCCAGAGGAGATGTACGTGCTCGATAGCGACGGACGCATTAGACGCGTCGCTAAACAGAGGCGGAAGACGGACAACAAAATAAATAGAGTAAATACAGGGTGTATTCTCCATCCCCCGCCCCCCATATACGCTTTCTAAATTTTCTTATTAGTACAATTAAAATATCGATTTTCCAATTGCTGTAGCTCCGTTAAAAATGATTTCGATTTTCGATTGATGTTCCTAAGCGGAATAATTAAAAATTAACACGTTTTGAAAATTCCTATTCGCTTACTGATTTTTCCCGAACACACGTTGAGAATAACTGTTATCTTGGACGTATGTTTGAAACTATAGCTGCTCAAGCAAGGCATTGTCTGCCGGGAGGCCACGAACGAGTGCGACTTGCCGGAAGTCTGCTCCGGAACGTCAGGCCAATGTCCGCCGGATGTTTACAAGAAGAACGGCAATCTCTGCGCGAACAACTCTACCTACTGTTACAACGGTGTTTGCCCGACGTTGGACTTCCAGTGCAAGGAAATTTGGGGATACGGTGGTACGGGCGCGGACAAAGAGTGCTTCGAACAATTTAATTCCAAGGGTTCGCTCAGCGGACACTGCGGTACCGACACATCCGACCACTACGTTAAATGCGATCCCATGTAAGTGAACCTGGAAACACGAAGTTACAGACGCGAACAAATTGATCCTATATAAACCAAATTACATTTCCGTCGACAAACCAAAATTCAGTTTTATAGGATAACGATTACTTGCGTGTTTCAAATGTATGGGAACCGTCGAAGGTGGTTTTTCCAAGAAAAAATCGAAAAGAACGTTCGATATCGAGGCAGAATTCTATCTAAACGTTTCCGTTCGTCGCTTCTTGTCGCAGAAACGTCCGTTGCGGATCGCTGCAATGCCAACGAGGCAGCAAGCAGCCAGTGATCAGCGGTATGGATCACTCGAGGACTATCGTGTCGATGAAGGGCCAGGAATACGAGTGCAAGTAAGTCGAATCGCGTAATTTTCCACGTTGAACAGGACGTGTAACGTTGTACGACTGCTCTTTGCTAAGGTCTACGACTGGTAGGGTGGAAGGTTCCGAGATACCGAAGATGGGATTGGTTTACGACGGGACATCCTGCGGAGATAATTTGGTAAGTTTCGTAATCCTTTCGTAAACTGGAATCTCCGTATATTGTAACCCGGTAAATTAAATGAGACTCTAGGTTCAACGGCCGGTTTTCGGCATTGCATTAATGATCCTAGTTGGTCGTTGCTGAAACCGGATTATGCAAACTCGATAGCCACAGTATGGGGCTACGTAGCGCCGTCGTAGACAAACAAAACTGTTTGCTTTCAATCTAGATAGATTCGGTTGAAACGACGACGAGACGACGGTTAAGAGGAAACCGCGGGAATACATCGTTTGATTTTCCACGTTTCAGATTTGCGTGAATCAAACTTGCATGAACATCTTCCCGCTACTGGACACCGAGATGTGCCCCAGCAATCGCGACAACAACGAATGCTCGGGTAAAGGCGTAAGTAAACGTTTCGCGAGCAACCAGTAGAACGTTTTCGTTCAATATTACGTCGAAGTCGTGTTTGTTGATCATCGAGAGACAAATTTGAAATTGCAGGTATGCACGAATATGAACAATTGCTACTGCGACTTAGGATGGACCGGACCAGACTGCTCCGTCAAATATGCTATTCCGACAGTGCCGCCAACGACTACGCGCACCGACGCAGCTGGTAAAAATGGTTCAGATCCTAGATTGGTGAAGAAAGAGACCCCCTACGGTAAGTTTGCGACTCGTAAACGATTAAACTAATTTCGTTAGTAAATCGGTCGTTTTTCAATCTCTCGGTTCGTATTCCGATTTCCAAATCGCGCAAACGAAATCGTTGACAAGTCCTAGCGACGAGAACTCGTACCGATCACCGGGTACGGTAGACAATTTCGGTTTCCACGTGTAAAATTTGTTCGAGGCCGTGAAATTTCACGGTACCGCGATCTCTCGTCGGATAACAATGTCTTTGGACCGTGGAACGGAGAACGATAGGCTTTGTAACGGCGATAACGTTCGCCTCGATCGAAGATAAGGCCGCTCCGTTGGAACTCGAGGCTGATCGACCCATTCGAAGAAAAGATTTCGTCGGACGGTGAAATGCAACGGGCGCGATAAGCGAAATTCTACCGTAGCCTGCGATCGCGAAACGCAGACAATTCTCCGATCGTCTTCGTGCGTTTAATTCACGATAAGACGAAGAAGACTCGTCCCTTTTCTCGTCGGGAAACCCGTTTTAGTCGTCTGATTATTTGGGGCCATACCATCAGCTGTGCACATAAAATTCGATGCGTTCTCCATATATACATACACACATATATACATATAACACGAGACGACAAATTCATTTGATTACACTCATCCATTTTCGACTCACGTACCCATCCCGCGAAAAGAACAATCGCATATTACGAGTAAACGGCGATTTTTACCCCCACGCGAGAGTCCAGCGTGCCTTTGTCGAGAACTATTTACTAGACGGAAGAATTAACCCTTTCGCTGTTTAACAAAATTATAGGTTGACTGCGGATTTTTATACATTTGTGGGAAATTTTAATTTTCAAAAAATATAAGAAATCCTTAAAGTAAAACATGAATTATTATATTTAGATTCACAGTCTAATTATAAGACACGATTTAATAGCGAAAGGATTAACCGATTAAAAATTAGTACAGTTTCGCTCGATCCCTGTTCTCGACCAGGTTCGCGTGGATCCAGCAGGAAAATCGAAATTAATGACAAAGGCACCCGTACGTCCGATCTTGGAATAGATGTTTCTTTCGTAGGGGCTGCTTGTCCATAACGCTTGATCTCTTCAAGGGATATTCGCGAGAACAGATCCTCGCCCAACGTAATATCTTTTCCACGGAACGAACCCGCGATGTGGTTCGTCCTTGGAACGATTACGATGGGGGGGAGGATCCGCGACAGTGATTCAAACACGCTTCGCCGATTGTTCTGACACGTGTAGGATACAAAGTGATTGGTCGTTTCAGACGCAACTAACAACACCCTTAACACCGTGGAGATGGTAGCAATCATGTTGGGTGTGGCCACAGGAGTCTTCGTTTGTTTTGCACTAGTGGCTGTTTGCTACAGGTACAGTAGCAAAATAAAATTACTTGGAAACTAAGAGCCCACTGAGCCGAGGCTTCAGCTGAGTGGGTTCGACCCAACGCCTGTCGTTGTCAAGTAATTTGTGGCTAGCTGGATGATGGGGCATCGCACGCGGCCATCAATGCTCTCATAATATTGATTCATCTTAGCCTACTGACTCGATGTTTCAATTACCTCTATGTATTATATATATATATATAAACATGAATATGCGTACGCCTCACAAATATATACAGTGGAGACTACTTAAAACCGCTGGATAGATAGATAAACGGTACCTATATATTTAATAAATTAAACTTTCGTACATAGCAATATGAAGCATATTCCATCAAAATATTAAAATAATTTTAGTTGCAACATTACGATAATTTTTAAGATTCTTGTAGACGTCGTCGTAATAATAGCAGACATCTGCTTGAGGCCTAGTCGAATTGAATACTATGAAGGTAACTAGAATTAATAAAATTGAGAAAAATTTATTCTGAAGAATACTGAACTTTATAAAGTTATATTGTCAAGATAAAAAATTATTATCACAAATGGTAAAGCTATTATGAACGAATAAAGCAAGTATGAGCGACTGTTTACTGAAAAGGGATAGGAAATATAGAAATACCTTGTCTCTAATAACTCTGTGTTCTCGGTCATTGGCAAATGTATGGGATTAAGTATCCCACAAACTCAGACAATTCAGGTTCCATTCAACAACACCCTACATACGTTGAAAATTGAAAGTACACGCCAAATATATAACGAGTAGGAGGACTGATTATTTCCCTAACTATCAAACGGTCTTAAGTAGCTAGCCGCCGCTGTACACACAAAATATTCCGTAGCATATGGAAACCGATTCAGCAATGGATTCTCCACATGAAAACCATAAAAACCGTATAAACATATATTTCGCCTGATCTTCTTTTCGAATTACAGCAAAGTTTTATGCTGGAATAATTTTTTCGGAGGATGGGAATAGTCGAATCAGTTCCACCCGACTATTTAAAAACAGAACTCAATACCAAACGTTGGAACTTACATTCTAATTATATAAACACTTCTTCTTAGTATACCACGTGTCAGATTATTGAAATACGTCGTGTGAAAATTTTTTTAATTCGGAAATGGCGGAAACTCGTACCTAATTTATAATCTTGCCCAATGTGATAGTGTTAAACCGAGGTAGTCGATGGTAAAAGTTGCAGGCTTGCGTTCAGATACAATATCGTGCTTTAAAGAAGAAACGTATGTTTACACGAACTTTCTTTTATCGTTTTCATGTGGAGAATTCATTGCTGAAAGGGTTCCCACGTGCTACAGAATACTCTGTATATACATATACTACCTGTTTTCTCGATGGTATGCTCTGAATGTGCTCGTGCTCGCATAGCGCGCGTTTGAATGATCACGACAATCATGACTATGCTGCACGAGCGAGGGATCTACATCTTTACGGTTGTCGCACTCCAACGGCCGCTCTGCATTTGCGCGATCATTGTTCCTAAACGTTCACGGTTTTAGGTGGATCCTGAGCCAAAGATGGGCAAAATTTTATTCGAACAAACAGACAGTGTACTCGCAAAGGTCGGAGATCTTTCATTTACAGATCATATTCACCGTTTTGTTGATTAAATTCACCTTGCGAATTATTCAAAAATAAAGCAAAACAATGCCATTTCGTAATTAGCGAGCCAGCTCTCAAATTACACTTTTAGTATTAACTAAATATTTTATATTAATTTTATATTTACTACAATGGCTTAAGAAAACAAATTTGTAGAAAAGCTCGATCCTCAATAGGGTAAATTCGATATGTAATTCGATATATAAAGGTTGGATTAGATTTACAGACGGGTTAATTTGGAGTGCAAAATCTGTATCTCTATCTACAGAAAAGCTGTCAAACGACTTGTCTGCTTCGTCGAACAGTCCCCGTCAAACCTAACTGACTTGTACACTGATGCAACAAGTCAGAGCAGACGAATAGAGGGCCGCATATGTGAATTCACAAATAGGAACGCAGTCGTACGAGTCGAAGGAGAATTCGGAATGGTGGATGTGGCTAAATAGTTACTGGAAGAACTGACCAACGAGTGGGAAATATGTTCGACGATTCTAGTGTGCAGTATGAGTCACGACATCGCTGGTTCACCACCTACGCTACTCTTCCCCACTATCGTCCATCTTGTTTGTTTCTTTTTATTCGTTAGATAAGAATTTTGTCCATCTTTGGCCCGAACCACCCAGTGTACCGACAGGGCGCAAACGTTCTTACGATTAGATTTACCTGATCCGTGCGATCAACCGGTGTAATACTGTTATACAAACATAAATGCGCGAAACGCGAGCCTCTTTGTTGTTTCCGAGCCAACCCTGAATGCCAGTTCGTCCCTTAGAGTACGATATCTAACACACGATCCACCATAAACGTAACGCCAATGTGCCAGCTGCTTGTATGCCCTATGAAAGCATGAATAAGGCTGATTAGCAAAGAAATGAACATCGTCCCCTCGAATCCGTCCGAGAAAAAGAAAGAATCGCTAACGATAGAGGCTAACCGTTTCGCTTCATTATTTAACGAGTCTCTTTGATCGCGATCGATCTGTAACCGTGCGAAGCGATGAGACCGATCCGAAAACATCGTGTCACTGATATTAATAAATAAAAAATAACAGTTATACATGTCACAGTGCTGAAATTTAATTTACAACCTAATGATAGGTGGTTGTTAGTCGATCTAAAATGTATAACGTTGCGTCTGTGACCCCTATGGAAATAGTTCGATACAAGAATAACAAATTGGTACGTTAAATGGTTGTCGATGGCATTTAAAAGTGTCTAGTAAAGGGAGGGATGCGGGAAATCGATGTTTAATCGACGCGAAGCAAGCATTGCGGTATGCACCTAGTATAAGAAAACCCTAAAAGACTTTAGATATAATTGTTCCAAACTTTCATACGTATTTATTTGTTTTTCCTTTGCATTTGTAAATCATCGTTTTGTTTTCTAGATCTATTCGATCCTTCTGCGGTTTTCTTATACCGTGTACTACGTTTGCTTAACGTCGATTAGAAATCGATTCTCCAGGTCTCTAACGTCTGTCAGTCTCATCGTTGATCGCGATGGTCTTTGCGAAGATTGTTGGTCAGTGGCGATTTCTTCGCCTCGAACGGTGTCCAGATCGAACGGTTGAAACGAGAACGGGATGTTCGAGTCACGACGATGATTTTTGCAAAACACACGACGGATATACATGACGATCAGCCGTCCAACGGATACTAATCGGGGAAGCTTTGACGAAGAGTCAAAGAGTATAGAGAAAGAAGAATGGCTCGCGCGTTATTGTCTATTGGCGACATTTCGCGCGCTCGACGAGTTGATAAGAGTCCGATAGACGAATGTATCGCGTTGGTACGATCGATAGTGTGTACCGTACGACGAACAACATCTATGTATATGTATATGTGCTGATTCTGGCTTCTCTGTTTCTTGTCTGTTTCTGTCTGTCACTGGCATCTCTGTCTGTCTGCATGCTGTGGGACGCTCGGATACCAAAAATAAATCTCGCCCTCCGTAAACAATGGTACTCGATCATGATATCGCGCCGGAATTGCCGGCGACAATTGATACCGTGACGACGACAACACGATGCGACCTAAAACAACGCGTCCGATCGTCACAGATAACTACCACGGCTCTAACACTATATTTTTAGTTGGTGTGCTCATGGCGGTGGTAGGGGGTGTTTTCCTAGTATTTACTCTGATGGCTCTATGCTACAGGTCAGTCGTAGTACATAAAAACTACTCCCTCTGTCTCAGGTTAGTGTGCAGAAACATACACGTAGAAACTTTTTTGTATGCGTATCTATCTATCTCTATATATATATATATGCACATATATATGTATGTCTTTCTCTTACGAATCACAACGTCGTGCATATATATTTACATGTATATCTTTAGAGTCCGTATTGTTATTGTCTTTTTTCTCTTCGCTTACTGTTCTTTTCGTATACTGTTTTCGTTTATCTTTCGTTTTTCTTTCTCTCACTGTCATTGTTCATCGGTGTACCGATAAGTAAAACGCTCGAAATGTATTTGCATCGCTGCGCTGCATTTTATTATAATTCGTCAATGATTATCGCCAACGAACGCCGCCGAATAATGGCTTATAAAGAAAAAAGCGTCGCGGGAAAGTTGATATTCGTCGCAACGAACAGCCCGGCAACGATCGACAATGATTACCGTCTCGACCGCGTCGAATATTATCACATACTCGTAACCTGATCGTTGCTACGACTATGTATCCCCAAGCAGCTTCAGCAATCGCCGGCAAATTTGGCTATCGAACCAAGTATATAGGTTCATGTACGATTGCTTCCGCAGAATTGGCTACTTAAACGTATATACCTGTCTATTGCAAGTAAAGATGAGCTTCCAGTAATTCCGTAACCGTTCACCGATCCATCCCCAACGAAACGAGAATAATTTCATACGCGGTCAAGTATAATCGCGAACGCACCATCTCATCTAAATGTATGGTATCCGGTTAAAGGTTGCTGCGTTACAGCAGGGTGATCGATTACATGGATCACGATCGATGCGTTCGCAGGACGCTCGAAATATTGATTCCGTGGACCACTCTACGAACGTTGCGTCGACTAGTTCGACAATATCGAGGACAAATATCTTCACCCCCATGGAACGCACGCTCACAGGGAGGAAAGAAAATATTTCTCTCGGCTTTCGGGGACCGATTGGCCATTATACATTGAACTACCAATCGATTGACTACTACCAGTGAATTATAATATTTTTGCCGGAATCAGTGACTTTCCACTTGTTTCACACCTTTAACTCCTAACCCACAAGAAATAGAGCATAGTCCACAGAACCCTCGTACGTCTACTTAATGGTTAATCAAATGTATAGTTCGAGAAATGACAACAGATTGTTTAGAGATAGCTTTAATCGAGCAGAGCTCAAACTTAAAGTAAACTGGTACTGACGATGCAACGATCGAAGAACATTATCGTAGAAATACGTAGTAATAAATATTCGCAGTCCGTTGTCGTTTATCGTACGATAAAGAACTTTATCGTAATATTTGCGGGAATGCGCGACGCAGCGTTTGCAAGCGAGAAGTCACGCGTAAATTAGGGTGGGTGCAACCCCCTCGCGCGGTTCCCTTTGAACTGGTCGTCGTCTGTTCGAGTGGAATACCTGGGGATCGATAAGGAAATTTCACCTTCGAGTTCGAGGGGTAAAACGGAATTTTACGGGGTGGTTCTTCTTTCGAACGAACCGCGCGGACTCGTCCCCGAAAGACGCGGTAAACGTCTTCTTTTACACCCTGCACTTATTACAGAGCTTCACTTGATTCTCAACGAACTTTGTCTGTTCACATTATCGTTTGGTTTTGAGTATTCGGTTGATGGGTACTGCAGTGGAGGGCGATCCCACACGGGTGGCTGTAAGGCCAGATACCATTCGACTGGTTATCTGTTTCTGTTTTAATGCATGCCTCAACACGGCTCCCCGTTGAACCCCGTAGACACCCCAGCTTCGCTAGAACTGACCATAAGATGCAACGATCCAACAAGAAAAAAAGAAACAAAATATCCACGCAGTGTGTTTCGTTGAGACGTTCACCGTGACTGGAACCTTCATCTTCCTAGATCCATAGGAAGGAGGTTATAATTTGTAATCTCTGAAGGCTCTACTGTATCATCGAACCGAACACACTGTGTGCACGCTTGCCGCAGAGTATCGCGCACGCATGTTTTCGCTCAATTATACTTTGAAGGCTGCTCGTGGACAGCACACGCATCATTCCCACGGGGGACGTTTGTTTCTCACACCCCCGTCGGTGATGATCGAACTGCGTACGCTGTCGACGAACGTTTTTTTCTTTTTTAACGAAAAGAACAATGGACTCTGGTTTGGAAGTTCTCACTCGCTCCTGTAGTATGCACGTGCTTTTTAACGATATTTATCTGGTCGCCCTAATCGCGGTGCCTACACCTTCGTAACGGGCGAATTTCTCGCAGAAGGAAGAGCACCGTCCAGAAGATCGGTCAACCGTACGAAAAGAAGACCCTGCAGAAGACTAACAGCGGCGCAGCGAAGAACCACCATCCAGAGCACGCGGTACTGGACAACGTGAACACCACGATCCTAAACTTCCACAGAATGCCTAATTACAGGTACGACTGTTATATATAGTTGCTTAACCAGCGATCGACATCAGGCTAGACACACTTTAGGTAACATTCCTGGCCGCGTTAATTAGATCTGTCCAACAATTTAGAGACATTCTCGCGTCGTTTAGCTTGAAAGCTCTCGGTCCAAACTTTCGACGTGGGCGTAGGTTTAACCTTCGATCGATGAAAACGACACGCGAGACGCCGAACCTCGCTTCGCCCGTGGTGAATAATACCGTGAACACCATCGACGAAAGTTTGGAGATGACGAAGGGTCTTGGATATATACTGTAAATGCTTTTAAGAGACATACTAGGGAAGACCCCTGCAACTAGTGTTGAAAAGGATCCATCAACGATCGCCAAAGACACATCTCGCTTCTACTTATCTATTGGTTTTTTCCATTAATGTTTTGCGTCACACGAATTTCACGTCACACGTCATTCGACATCTACAAAGCCATTCGACGATCCTGTTCGCCGACAAAGACGGAATTTTCTTGTTCAAGGATTTTCAGCAGCCACCGTGATTCGTACGCGACCTTTGCTATCGAGGATCGATTACAGTGACTTGAAAAAGTATTCGAGAATCGGTACAACTTCGACTCGTACGCTTTCGTATCTTCGGTCAATACAGCAACAATGGAAAAATTGCTGACGCGCTAATAAAAGACGATCCCCAAACCGGAAATTAAAAATATTCTAAAACTTTGGGGATACGTTGATACGTTGCTTGTTGCGGAAATTTACTTTAAGGGGTGGACATTAATCCTTAAATATTCGGCTATTTTTTATTCTCTTAATCGTAAACTGCCCGAGAGAGGACAGAATTTATTAAAAAGAAAAATTCAGACACCGAAGAGGTTAAAGAAAGCTTTCAGCTAAATTAAACGATTGCAGAACTATCGCTAATAATTAAATTATTTTTATTACACTATACAGAATTGGTCACCGAACGTGATTAGTTTAGATTATTGTGTTGCTTTTTTTCTGTCGACACGAACCTCGATTAAAATATTTTGCAGTAAATTTCCGAGCTGCTTGAATATTTTTCTGACCAGGGAATTGTTCTATGAATACTTAAACAACCGTACACAGGAAACAAACTACTGTAACGTATCATAGAAAGGTTCTTTTATTTTTTTTAATATTCACCGAAGGTACGAAGTGTAAAAGTCGAAAATACAGGGTATTTTGGTGAAATGTAGTACTGACAATTGTTTTTTCGTAAAAAGATATATTGAAAATGTAAAAAACAATTTGTTTTGCGAGATTTCGTTCTAACAAAACACGTGCGAAATAATGGATTTCGTTGATGTTTAAAAACATTAACGATGGTATGGTATTATCAATTTTCCATCAATCTTACTGTCACCTAACTAGTTTGGAATTGAACCAATGAGTATTGGACAGAATATAATGTGCCTAATGATTAACGATGATGATTACCATGCAATGAAGCGTATGATTAATGATTACACGTACTGAATACATAATCAATAATTATGGTTAGATTGCTCATTTTGTGCATTCATGACGTATGCTAATATAGTAAACACGCGTAATATGTTCTTAATTATATTTCATAAATCAATATAATAATATTATATTTTATTTTGGAAAAATGCATAAAATCCAAAGTTTAATTATGATTGCCGAACGCCACGAATAATCAAAGCGAATGTAACCCTATGACATTATTAATTACTTCGTTAATAACGATTTTAGTTATACGGTAAACACGTATTCTCTAAAAAAACGTTTAATATCATTATTACCGTCCCCTAATTTATGAATTTAATCGCAATCAAAGACACGTTCATTTCGTGGTTAATGAGTTGATTAATCGTGTCTGATGATAACATTCCTTTTCATTGTACGTACGCATAAATTAATTATAAAGTGAAAGCTAATGAATTATGAAACGGATACAGAAGTATAATTTGCTTTTAGTATAATTTTCGTTTTAATTTATGTCACTTCTGTACGTTTATCGTCGTTGCATAAGAGGGCAAAATTATCATCTTTCCACGAGAGTTGACAATGATAATGACTAAACGCGATGATAAGAACTATTTATATAGTATAAGCCTAACATTATTATCCTGTATAGATACAGGGTGTCTCAGTGTATGTGATACCTACATTGCTACAGGTGACATCAAAACAATGAAAAACATATCAAACTAATGAGAAATAGACGCGAGCGTTTTTTTCAAAATTAAATTTCTTCAAAAACGAAACTACGTGGAAACAAATTTTACTTTACATTTTCTTAGTTTTTTAATGGTGATCATCCCCACCATTGTTACTATTTATCCAATACAAGAAACCTATCGATTAATTCGTAGCGTAAAACAAAAATTTCACTTCATTACGAGATTAGTATCGCATGTTTACACTTTTGCTAACCACTGTAAATATTACTCAGATTACTTGTGACAAATTGTCACTGAATATGTACTCTGGACCTATTCCACAATATTGATGTAATATAGTCTACTTATCTCATCATTGCGGTAGACATTTTCAACTAAAGACTTTGTCCTTTTTGGTAATTGACTGTGCTTGTCTTATCATAAGATACGAAACATTCTTTACAAACGTCTCGAATATTACCACGATTTTAGAACGACTGCGAGAAAACCGATTTTCTCGACGTTATCCGATTCTATGCTAAATTCATTCTTGAACTATTTAAAAAGTTTATATTTTACTCAAATCATCACTCTAATGCAATAACAGCAGCGACTATAAGTAATAGGTAGTGTAAAAGTCAACTTTTTGTACAAAATTAGAATCGAAATAAAAAAATTGCTGGTTGCAGATATTAAAATTATCATCTTCTGTCGAAGTCAAACGTTCGAGCCAAATAAACACAAACAGTGGTGGAGGGTAATGCTCTCATTCATTGATAAATAATCGTTCGCCAATGAATAAAAGAAAGGCCGTCAGACCGTGGAAAGTTTCAATATTTTATGAGTCTTCGAACTAAACTTTTGGGATTTAATTTATCCTATATGTAAAATGTATACTAATACCAGTTCGACGACAATTGAGTCACCGTACTACATATTGCAAGAGACTCTGTGTACCGATCTCGAAACACCTTCGCCACTCATCGTAGCAAGCCAGTCCCCAAAAATTTGAAAAATGCAACAATTACGAGCAGACATTTTATTAATGGGCGTATTCGATGGTGAATGTAATGTATTTTCGATATAAAAAAAAATCTCATCTTACAAAACTCTACCAGAAATGGTTTCGTTTCATAAATCTAGTGTTAGATAATGCATTTACCCGGTCAGATTTTTCAGAAAAGAAAAATTATTTCACTTCTTGTACAGAGTTTTGGATATACGAATTCGTTTCGAAATATATTTTATTTCCGTCCGAATACGCCCGCTAATAAAACGAAGCGTCCACTTCTGATTGTTTCATTTTTCGATCGACCTTTTCTCACCCGGTGCGTACAGGTATTTCGACGCGTCTTTTCTCCGTCGTTCGATAAAATTTCTCGCGGAATCTCGCTCGGTGTGTTTCCCCCGTACTCGCAAAGGTACGAGAAAGCATTCCTTCGATATCGAGCAACTCCGTCGCGAAATTCGCTCAGGAGACGTTCGCTTCCCGCGAGGAGAACTTTCATTTTACCATAGAAATAAGTTTCGAACACGGTCGCGAACGTTACGCAATGTAATTCCGATCGGATACGCCGACGAGCGCCCGGTGAAAATTCTCGAGCTGCAGCCCGATTGAGAAGTCGCGAGAAACGAATTCTTATCGAGTCATTTTTCTCGCCTCTCGCGATGCTCGAGCAGAGATCAAAGGGAACACGAATGACGGAAAACGGAGACGCGCGTTGTCGTGGACAGGAAGAGCCCGACGTTTCTCGCGAAAGCGAGAACATCCGACACCGTCCGGCGCGCAGTTTCCTAGACAGCTTTAACCCTTTGTGGTCGGCGTACGTTTTCTGTCTTGGAGCCCTCGTCTTCCCAGAGAACCCCACTTCCCGCAGATATGGGCACAATTTTATTCCAATAATATCATACACTGCACAACGAATGAAAATACATTTTTTCGACGTCCCCCGTTCGTCGCGAAGCACGATTAAAAACTGTAGTTTTACAGTGGATAAACGAGGTATTAAACTGGTGCAGAATCCAAGTAAAGCAACGAATGAATTTAAAATTTCTGCTCGCGAATGAAATTTGCCCTTTGATCCCCCATAAATTCGACCCTGTCGAACGAAACTCGGTACATCGATTCTTGATTAAAATGAAATATTCAACGTTCGATTGTCCTTTTCTTGCCTGGATTAAATTCACAGAAGTCGCCTCTCCGAATGAGCAGGTTATTTGGTAGCTTTTTATCTAGAATTTGTTATATGGATGAAAGTTTTGCCCATTTCTGTGTCCTTGCTATCGCGATAGTCTAGCGTTTCGCTCCCCTTCGAGGATGTCTCGAAGGGGCGAGGCCGACCGCAAAGGGTTGAACGATCGTGAAATACCCGCGGCATGCCTATATTAGTATATTTCTAGCCGCTGTGAGACCCAGCGCGTGCTGTTTCGACCCCCGAATAACGTCACCACCGCAGACGGGCCAAGACTCAAGTAAGTCTCATGTGTCTCGCCGTTATGTCACCATAGTTGATCGATGATCTAAAGACTCGAACACACCCAAGAGCCAACGAAGCAGGTCGGCAGGGGTTACCCGTGACACTAGTCGGAAAGTAAAAGTTGGGCAACATTCGATCCGATCGCGTTTGACGCGATAAAATTACACGCGATCGCGCGATTCTTTGATAGTTTTTTCATCGAAGACTTACAATCACGGTGAGTAATTACCGCGCGATTTATCGTACCGCGGCAAACGCGATCGCGTTACATTTTGCCCGACCTCGTCGAAAGTGGATGGGATCTATTCCAGGACGAGTTTATTGGACCATGTATCGCGACATGTTTGACAAAAGGTAAATTCGTCCACGCTGTCCTGCCTCGTTTTACTCGCGTAAAGCGACCAGAAACGGTCCCGTTCGTCGAGTAAACCGCTGCATTCGCGCGAAGAAAGATATTTTCCGTGCCGCGGTTTCCTCTCTCACCGATGGGTGAGAATATCTTTCGCGCGCGAACCATAAACCACATGCACACCGTACACAAACACATCGCACACTGTGATAAAACACGATAATGGAGAGTCAAGCTGCGAACGTGACCATGTTTAAGAGCACCCGACTCAGGAATGCAACAGTAGCGATATTCTGTGCTCGAGATCCACGTTTTGTGTGTGTATTTAAACTATCCGTTTACTGTTTAATACGGGTACGCGTGTATTTGAAATACAAAAACAGACGGGCGCCCGAGAATTTCAGAACTTGCTAACAAATTTCACAATTATTTTGACCTGCAGACTAGCAACTCGTGCATGCCTTGCATATTGTTCGCGTAAAAGGAATATTGTGCGTACATAGGGACACGAATTGGAATATAGATATGGTATGTACACGTGAACCCTATGTATTAAGAAATACACGGATTAAAATACGGATATGTTGGTTAAATGTTTCCAGTACACGTTAAAAACCGTGATATCTACCTTGTACGATCGAGAACCGCGAATGCATACAACGAAACGATTACTTTTCCGTTCGCCAGAAGTCCACGCATTTTTGTTTCTTTCATTTGAGCCAACGACGCGTTTGTATTTTGAGATCGTATAAAATCACGACGCGTCTGACCAAAATTTCACGTTTCGTGCAACGTCCAAGATGGGCACAGTTTCGTTCCTACTAGTGGATCCTCGATAATTGCTGTATAGCAAGACTGAAAATTACTGCAGATACCGAGACTCGTATAAAATATTAAACAAACATTATAGTCGACCTTGCTAAAGCTGAATTACATTCTATTTACTAATAATAGAGCACTGCCTCCCTTCTTGCAATCGAATAGGGATCACCGGATGACATGTAGGGAGGTTTGGATCAGTCTTTGTTCTCTGAACACTATTAACACTATTTTCTAAGTTTAATCATATATCTAAAATTAAAAATCTCCTGATAATACTACATTTCTTTCATAGAAAATTAATTTTTGCACTGTTAACACTAAACGTACCGGCACTTCATGTATACCCATTCCTACCATAACCGGTCAAATAATCAGTCTTTCTTTCTCTCTTTTACGAGGCAACGTACTCATAATTTATGCATTCTATGTATAGAAACTTGTGTTTTGATGTTTATTCGTAAGATATTCTCATTTATGTTAAAAAAATTTTTTAGTTTTCATCGGATAGTAGATAAAACGCCCTTGAAAACGAATTTTGTTCCAAGTCGATACCGTAGTTAGTTCTCGAGAAAACAATTAATTAAGATAAAGTACTGGCTAGTAATTACGCAAACATCCTGTATTTAAATTTAAATTAATTTTCAATTAAATAAATAATTTATAATCCAGTTTTATCGTACACTAGTCGTACGATCAGTAGGAATTGCTGAAACTTCTTTGGGTATGTATTTTCAAGAATTTACTACGCACTGTTTACCATTTTTGCGCGCGCGCGTTCATTGATCTGAATGAAACGTAAACAAACCCTTCGAACTATTCTATCTCCGAAACTAGCCACCGCATGAGTTGACACTAAAATCGCTATATCTCCGGAACTAATTACGCTATCGGCTTGTTCGAACGCTCGTTTTAAAGGGCATTTCATCCTCTATCCAATGACTATACCAGCTACTATAATTTTTGCTATCTTCTATGTTTATTTTGAAATTTACTTTAACGCTATACAGGGTGTTCGGCCACCTCTAGCAAAAATTTTAATGAGCGATAGTAGAGGCCAAAATAAGACGAAAATCAAGAATACTAATTTGTTGGTGGAAGCTTCGTTAAAAAGTTATTAACGTTTAAAGTGCCGCTCTTACTGAATTTTTTTCTCGAAAATGTGCAAGATTTCGGGGGTATGTCTATTCACCAAAAATGACTGTAATTGAACCCTACAACCGAAAATAATTTTTCCACAACGATTTGCAATTTTTTAATTTTCTCGAATAATTTCACACCTTCTCTATTTTTTTTCTCGAAAGTGGGCAGGATTTCGTGGGTATGTCTAATGACAAAAACTGATTGTAATTGACCCCCGCAACCGAAAATAATTTTTCCACAACGATTTGCAATTTTTTTTCTCCGTTGAAAAATTTAGGCACCTAATTGGATTTTCAGTAAGGAATTTTTTTCTCGAAAGTGCGTACGATTTCGGAGGTATGTGTAATGATAAAAAATGATTGTAATTGACCCCCGCAACCGAAAATAATTTTTTTAAAACGATTTGAAAAATTTTTTTTCGCCGAAAAATTTCAGCATCTACTCGATTTTATTTCTCGAAAGTAGATAGGATTTCGGAGGTATGTGTACTCACAAAAAATGATTGTAGTTGACCCCCGCAACCGAAAATAATTTTTCCAGCACGATTTGAAATTTTTGAATTTAATTGTTAATAACTTTTTAACGAAGCTTCCATCAACAAATTAGTATTCTTGATTTTCGTCTTATTTTGGCCTCTACTATCGCTCATTAAAATTTTTGCTAGAGGTGGCCGAACACCCTGTATACATACGGCTTCCTGGTCACGTGACTTCTTCGATTCACGCGCGAGAAAGAGGTACGACGCGACGCGTCAGACGGAGACAGAGATAGTCAAATTAAGAAAAATACCCTTTTACATAATTTACGATATCTCGAAAATGGAAAGTCGGATCGCCAAAAACCAAAAAACCATTTCAAAGAGGAAGTAGTTTCGAAATTACACGCGTCCAAAGTTTAACTATTTTTAATACGCATTGTTAGACTGTTCTAAGACAGTGGAAACTGAAGATTCTCTCCTTTCGTCTTTGCTATACATATAGTTCCTATTTACATCGAAAATTAACCAGAATTTGGTACCAAATTTTGTCCAGTTCTTTACAAAAAAATATAAATCATATGACCGGTCGTGGTAGGCAAGACAGACTACATATTTTTCTCAGGAAACAAACAATAAGGATAGAAGTGAATATTGTAGCGCCAAAATAATATTAAGTGTTGAAATTCTAAACAAAATTTTAAAAACGGTCACTTGACCGGTCTCGGTAGGTTTAGTGTTAAACTGTCCAACGCATCGAACATAATTTCTACGCAATTATCGAGGTTCTACCGAACGTGGCTGAAGCCCATCTTTGCGCTATGTTCGTGTATTTGTTTTTTCGGAATTTTTATTCATCACGTATGTATGTACACGCTTGAACAATAAAATAACGCACGCGTATTATATTGACTTTGTCAATAATACGAATAATATTTTTTATTTACATCGAATAATGTGCAAGTATTACTTTTAGAAGAAATACTATGATACACTAGGTCCTAATGCACAAAGAAACAAGCTGTCAAATCAAAATAGTAACCATTAGGAAATTAAAGATAACACGCGCGTGATATCTTTTCGATCGAGTGTGTACATCGACATTTTTGGACGCAGGACTCTCGATTTCGGATTAATCTGAAACAGTGGCATCGTACATACACATCATCACGTTTCCAACACACACGCTGTGGTCAATCCAAGCAGAAGAATGTGAAGTGCATGCGTAGGAGTTGCTCGGCTTGTCTTTTCACCCTGGCACCGCATGATTTTTCTTTTGAATGCAACGCACAAATCATCGAGTTCCATCGGTAGAACCGAACATCGTTCGCGACAATCTACACTGGCACCATGGCACTCAAAAAGCATGCTCTTCATTCGTTACTTTCCTCGAACACGACCGTACCCTTCGAAGAGAAAAAAACCGTACGAACAAATGGGTCATTCCGCGCGAAACCACATAAAAATTAAAATCAATATATATTCGCTTTAACACTATTTTTACCAGACGCTGCCATTTAAAATTTCAACCGATTTTCTATGTTCGATCATTTTTCCTCGATAACACGATATTAAAAATAACATAAATCGCATTAGCAACTATTTATTTCATCAAAATCTCCGTCATCCCGGTGGGAAATGTGATCGATTCAACGTGGAATGACCCAAATGCTACTCGTTTGCACAAGTTGCACTCGGCGAATCGTTGAACGAAACCGAGGGGAGCGAAAGAAACGCTCGTACGGGTACTTCTCTGGGATACGTACATAGATTCGTCGTGTTCAATCGACCAAAAGAACCACAGAAAAGACGCTGAACGTCTGACGCGTTCGTGCTCGTGTCGCGTTTTAATTGGTAGCTCGATTAAAAGTGTGGCGCGAACACGAATGCGTCGATGGCGTCGGCACGTGACCGTAACTACGAGGCTTCGCCGATTTAAAGCGAGTCTTTTCACGCAAACGAGTTTCTGCAAGTTCCAAAATGGCCCCGTACATGCGCAGAGAATTTCTTGAACGTTTACCGGCAGGTCGTGTTCGTGGAAAAAATACTTTGACCGTGTACGGGCCATTTAACCCTTCGACTAGTAACAACACTTATTGGTCTGTTTAAATTAAATATTTAAAAATATATCGTGCACACTTGCACAAGTTCTTATTTATGACTTCAACGATTCTGAGAAAATTGTATTTCAAAATCGAATTGTCGCTTTCGACACCTGGTCTACCAAATAGTGGTTCGCAGTCAAAGGATTAACTGAGGGAAAGATGGGTTTGCGTTCGAGTCTTGACGTTCACAGGTGTGACGCGGATAAATGAAAAATAAATAAAATAACTCACTGCTCGAAACTCATACCGGGATTGAAAATTGCAGTGGTCAACAGCAAATATGTATTCTTCGTTTAAGTGGACAATTCCGGTCTCCACTGCGATCCTAACTACAAAAAATAATATTAAATTAAAACATTGGCTACACAGATACTGAAAGTTTAAATTTTGTAACATTTTTGTAATAATTTTGTGACAAGCACAACGTAAACAATATTCTCAGCTACATTATTTTAGTAGTAAATGTATGATTTTATAATCCGAGATGAAGCTATCGAAATCCAAATAATTTTATTAGTTTAGTGTTATGAAAACTATGTGTGACAAATTAAAAAGAAAATATGTTTCGTTTTAACGTACACATACTTTAATTTACTGCATTCGAATTATGTATATCCAAATAAGTGAGAAAAAATATTAATAGAAATTACTATTAAAAATTTGTTGACCAATGTTATCAATATCCAATCTCGAAATTCCAATAATTTAATTCTAAGAGCAGAACTAACGCCTATGATCGTCGAGCGGGTGCGATAATCTTTGAAATATTTTCGTCGTTGTGTCGACGGGAGATGAACTGTTCTTTTACGTGGGCATTTTCAGGGATTACAAATTGCACCTGAAGAGGTACAGGATAAACGAGGGAGAAGGAGGTACGGGCTCAGAGGACGCTGTCTCTTTCATTGATCTCCAACCAAACAATCTGACAAAGTTGCCTGAGAAGGGAATTTTAAAGAAACACGATGGTTACGGTATTGTAATGACTGATAGTCGTACAAACACGTGGGCAGATTACTCACGGGCCCATGAAGGGGAGGTGCAAGAAGCTCGAGCTTCCGATAACTCCGGTAGATCTCGTATGATCTCCCGTAGATCATTCTACCGTTCGAACTACCCTCGACAGACGGGCGGAAACAAATTTGAAAACGAAACTTTACCAAATACTTGAGCTTCTAGATTATCAACAAAAGCTAAACTCAAACACTAGACAAAGTAGTATTCTTTAGCGCCAAAATTGTTTCGAGTAATATTTTGAAAACGAGTACATTTTTGAATACGAACATTAACGAAACGCAAGAACAATTACTTTATCTGAGATGTTAAGACCACCATAACGTGATTCTACACTTTTGGGGTTTATGCATTACGCTCCAAAATTAAGAACCGAAAAATGATCGATGTTTAAACTACTGAAATTTCGTGAAGTCCTAATCCTCCATTAGTTCATTATTTTTTAAATGCTTTAAAGGAAAGTTGATTTCCATTTCCATTAAAATCAACATTAATTAAAACAATTCAGTTGAGATCGAGAGTCCACTTAAGGGTTAAACTTGGGTTACCATGAACGACAAGGTCCAGCGAAGTACAAGGGTTAATTTTGTTGTGTAGTGCATCTCCAACGCAAATGCATTGATTTCAACATTCTTAATCGACGGATTCTTTCAAGATCTAGAAGACGGTGCAAGGTGGACGGTAATAATATTTAGTATACTAGACATTCGTTAATAGGAAATTGTTAATAGCAGAATCGGCTGCTTCCGGTCCGGATAATCGGCTGAAGAGATCAAGCCCTTTGCACCGACCCTCCATGCATGATTATGCTATCTATTCGCGCTGTGGGAGACGCGACGCTGAATGTTAATCGAATGCACAATTGTCCCGAGCACAGGTGGAGGAGCCGTGGTCGAGCTGGAGCGTACCCTGGATCGGCTGAACGGGTACCACGACGACATTCTAGAGGCTGTGAGGAACGCTAAGATGCATCGGGAGATGTCGGGAACACCCTCGGTCAGCGGGAACCTGATGGACGAGGAGGCGTTGCACAAACCACTGACGGAATGCGATTATCCGGACTCGCGCCACAAGGACATCGACGAACAGGATCATATCGACAACCAGGACGTCGACATCGGCGAGGAAATGGAGCTGGTGGACGACAGGCGCCGTCCGATTCTCATCCGTAATCTGGAGGACATCATCAAGCAGCTGGAGCATCACACGGCGTCGCGCATAAGTCCCTACAGCTCCGAGGAGATCCGGATGTCCGAGAACGAGGCCGATCGCAACTACAGAATAGATTCGTCCGTTTGTAGCGAGTCCTCTCAAGGGTAAGAACTGACAAGCGAAATACTCGCGCTTGGCCATGCTTTAACGTTCTTTTCTCGACGTTCTCATCGCTTCTAACGTTCGAACCGTCGTTCTTTGCCATCGAATGCTTCGATCGCGGCCGAGTTGGACCGGACGATCGCTTCTACTTCTTCTCTTTTCCTTTATTCTTTCGTTTTTATACTTCTTACTTTCTAGAGAACTCGGCCGTGCTGTGTTTCAGGATTTCAAAGAAACTTTTAAAGTAGAGCTGGCGCGACGTTCGCGATCGATCTCGGTTTGGAAACGTTAACGGGGAACACCAATTCGAGAAACGATCAAACATTCCCGGGGATTCTCTTACTCTTACGTCACGATCTCGATTCCAGTGACTTTTACGCGCGTCGAAGGGGAAAGGTAGGCCGAATGGTTCGATGCGAGCTACCCATTCTTAGTTTTCACGATATAGTCGACCCGGACCTCGCTCACACTTGATACTTTTCGAGGTAATTATTTACCATCGTCGATTTCGATGATTTCGATATACACTTCCCGTCCACGAGTTACCGGAGACTCAACGAGTGCGGAGTAAACGCGAATTAACACTGTGTAGTGATGTAAATTGTAAAATGAAACTAACACTTATTTATTAATTACATATAAAGGAAATATAACTCGTATTGTATGTCATAGATTTTATCGAAATGTTTGGAACCCTAATGGAATTCTCTTTGAAAAGAAACTTGACCTTTGTGTGTCCTCGGCGCGTCCACCTACAAAAGCCCAAATGCACTAAATTATCTTCCCCCTCCCTGGCCCGAAACCATGTAACTTTTTGACTAGCCACTTATCGTTATCGAAACAGCATTTACAACTATGTAATTGCTTATTTATTTATACAAGATATACTCATCAGTAGGTTCACACCATGCGTTATTACAAAGTATGCTTGATCAAACTTCAAAATAGTTTTGATCCTCCAAAAGAATCGATTACAATGTCAATTGTTTTGTCAAGTTACCGATTCTGTTAATTGGCTCTGTTTCTATTCTTGGAAGCAAATAGGTTAGACGCGAAAAGTGGAAATTTGGTACAATAGTATCAAATCTGGTATCTTTTATACTACGATTAGTGGCGGACCTCGAGTTGTATAGCTGGTGTTTCCCGTTAACGATACAGAAGAGTGTCATTGTTAGAGATGGGATCAAATTCGAAGTATTAGAGTTAGAAAGGACTACCAGATATTAGATCAGAAATTATAGACAAACTTCGTAGGGTTTCAGAAACAGATATAATACCTAAAAATATTTAACACGTATTTTTTTAGAATCGGAAATTCGCATTTAAAAGACGCAATTGCCTTTCAAACTCGAAAACTCTGGGCTAGCGCTCTAACAAAATAAGAAACGGTAAAGTTGCATGGTTTTTTACAATCTGACTCAGGCACTTGTTTGCCTGGGCTAATGTAAAGTGTCGTAAGTCACCTGCCCATAAGTCTCCGGTTAAATTAACACTGCGGAACACATTGTACGTCATGGATTTTAGTATCAACCAAACGATCGTTCAAATTAATGGTGGATTTCTGTGGATAATTGTTTATTAGTATTCTGTCGATAATTGAAAATTCTTTCCATGAGACGTTCTCTGATTTGAAACGCGTTTATTTTAAAAATTTGCTTCCTTGTACATGTACGAACGAATGTAAAATTATTCTTTAATAAAATTTGCCTAACTCTGGTTCTACCCAGAACCGATCTCTCCAGTTCCGGAGAATTCGCAGAATACGTACGCAAATGATCAAAACGTTCGAATGTTTGTGTACAAAAAACTTTAAAGAAACGGTCCCAAAGTGTTTTCTTGCAACGTGCTTGATCCCATCGCTAATCGTCGTACTATTTAACTGTTTAGGACCACTAGCGGGCTACACGTGACCACTTCGTTCAATTTCGAATCCTTTAATTCGTAGTTTGTTCTACTTTGCATATTCGATGAAACCTCTTACACGCTGGCACAACTCATTGTTGTTTACATTCTACTGTTACCGATGCGTCGTTGCTTATCTTTTTTCTTCTCTCGCCACTTTGTTTTCTTTTTTCTATCTTATGCTTCCTTAACTTGCGCATATAATACAGCTATCAGACCTGTAAACGCGTGTCTGAATACAGTAGCGTTAGCGTAGTTACGTTGAAACGAAATCTATCCACCCGTACAGGCGATGGAACCGCCCGCGAACACACGCGACGATCGTGTTTCCTAATCAACGGCAACATGACTTGCATCCTAGGCTCACGTAGCTTTTGATCAAATACACAATGCAGAGTCTGTTTATACCGTGTCTCTACGAGTTTACGACGCGCTGAAATGAAATTTAGTCCACAAATCCAGTCCTCGATTAAGACCACCATACAACGACTCAATACGTTTTGATAGCCCCAAGAATCGCAACATTCAATGTCCCGTGTTGTTTAAAAAAAAATTTTAAACCAGCTGAAACGATGACTTGAACCAGCCCTAATTTCACGCGCAATTACATTGCACTTCGATTTCACCGAGATCCCTGCCATCGATCGCGAAGTGCGATCGATTTAGCGCGGAACCGACCCTCTCGCGGAATTCTCGTTTGTCGAAGAGCCGAGAAGCCACGGCTCCCGAAAAAAAGAAAAGATTCGCGATACCACCGCGACAGATGTACACTTTTAAACGGACTGATTCGATTTCCTACGTAGAAGCAGAAGGTGTAGCCGCGGCCGTGACGATACCTACGGTAGATATCGTCAGCCATCGTCTCGAAGTGCTTACGGCACCCATCAACTCGCTCAATACCCCCATCAAATGCACGAGGAGGAGGGTATCTATGAAACTGCCGATCCTGACAGAGACTCAAATGGTAGGGGTGAAACGCCCGATAGTGAAAGGTATCGCAGATTCTTTCAAATACGAAAACGGGCTTAACCGTAGATAAAGAGACGCCGTATCGTAGCGAATCGTCGTTGATCGACGCTGAATAAAAGCCCTCTGTGTAAGTCCCCTCGCAAGTCCTACGAGTCCACGCGCGCCGCGATTAGTGCTGGGAATCCGGGATTCGAGCTAAACGTTTCGCGAGCCAACTTCCGATCGACGTTCCTTCAACGCTCGAGACCGTCTGAACCAGGTATGGGCAAACCTCGAATGATTTCTCTAATTCGAACACACCTAAACGCAGTGCTCTCCAATCCAGGAAGCGAGTTTTGGGGTTCAAGAACTTCTTGGTGTTGTCAGGACATGAAACGTGACTATTCTCTAAGTAGAGCTGCTGTAACATTATAACAACTCATAGTATAGCAATAGATGTCCATTCTGACCGTTTTAGCTGCTTCAGTACCTTAAAGAAACGATTATTTAAGTGATAATAACGTTTCTTTGGTGAAGGTTAACTAACACCTTACGAAAAACATTGTAATATCGTCTGCAATAACACACAGAATCGCCTATATTCAAACGATATACAGGGTATATTTGGACGGATGGTACAATTGGGTAAAAAGAAATTCTACATTAAAATAAGTAAAAGAAAAGGAATAACAAGCATGTAGAAGAAACAATGGTGGTGTGAACGTTTCTGCCAATAATAAATTCATATGCGTGACTCGTCATCTTTTCAAATCTGCACACTACTATTTTTGACAACGTAGGTTTAACTGTGTCGGGAAAGAAGCGATTGGAAAAGGAATATACTGGAGAGCACTGATCCAAAGTACTGAATACATTCAGGATATATTCTGTGGTGTTCGAAAATCGACGTTCCCTTGTATTTTATAGACGTCCGAATATTAAATATTACTATAATTTGTATTGGATGCATCGTCGAATACCGAGTACTTTGTATTTTCTAGTATACAATTATAAATATTGCACGAAGCTGACCCTCATACTACTACAAAGTTACTTGTTAATATAAAATTTAAGGAGCAAACTATCAAACATGTGTATACATGACACATAATATTTAATTTTTTCGATAAAAATTTATAAGATTTGTATAACGTGTATTTGTTATCCATTTACTCGATTAATATATACTACATTCAGTGGTCTGGAAATTGCAAGATATACAAGTATTCTTCAGTCGCACAACAACCGAATATAATCGTTCGATGAACATTTTCTGAACTACGTTTTGCCCATCCCTGGTCTGAACGCGCTAGGTTCTCGAGGAAAGATTCGAACCGATTAATTCCCATCACTATAGTGAACGCGCAATTCAGATAAGGATTGGTGCATGCCCGTGAGAAAAACAGCAAACGATTGGGAAACGAGTACGCGCCTCGGGTTCGCGAAAAACTGGAGGGAAACCCGGTCACGGGAAAGCTGCGAATTTCGTTCGAACTGGAATATTATCCCGAATGTCGACGTGTAAACGGAATATAAATAGACTCGGCATACTCCTCGTCTTTTATATTCGATGCAATTTGCAAAAGTCGGTTTCTTAGTCGGCTCTGAGGACACGAGAAAAATATGAGAAACGACCAACAAACGATCGTAATATAAAGGTGTCGTAATGTTGTTGTGAACAAAAAAACTTGCCGTACGAGATCCGACGAACTTCAACACACTTTCGCATGCTACTCTATTGTTTTAGTTGCTTGTGCAATTGCGCTGTGAATGTGCTGCGAACTGTTAGGGTGTCTCAGAAAATATTGCGCGTTTCGATACCCTGTTTTATTAAGCGATCACCACGATGAAACACTACATTTCGAGCACGACGATCCACGATCCTCTGCAATACCAAACTAGTCGTCTCGATCAGAGTTTTAAAATATTTGAGACTCTCGTGCCGAGACTTCCGAGTGTTGAAAAGTGTTCCGACAAATGTTGTACAAGATTATTGGAATACTCTCTGCGACGATTACTTGATCGATGATTTCAAGAAATCCTTTTATACTTGCTGAAACGAATAATAATTGTTCAATTATCGTGCAACGATTTCATCTAATCGCTTTGTAGCGAACGTAGTCAGACTCTGTGTCCCTCTTCTAGTTTAGAGTCTAACAATTCTACTATTGGCCAAAACGGTGATCGATCGCGCAACGTGTGCTAGCAAATACTATGCGAAGATCGTAAGTCATCCACGCCGTCTAATTCCCTCCAGAAACCTCCACCTTTAGATTCTTAACTATTACAGAGGCTCGAGGTTTTTTCTTTTCAACCTTCGTCGCGAGATGTAGCTTTAAATGTGGCAATTTACGATCTTTGCATAGTAGTTCCCAACGATGGAGACACTCGAATAATTCTCTGGGTAAAGGGCGTATGTTAAAAATGTTCAAACTTCATTTTATTGTGCTATAGTGGTCAGTAAGTGTAGTATACTTCATGAATACTTTTACTTAAAATAGAAAAAGGGCATATGGCACAGTGAACAGTTAATCGATTTTCCGTTACCTTCTAACATTTATAAAATGTAACATACGCTCTTTTTCTAGAGAACTATTCGCTCGTGCATGGCTAAACGCCCACGTTGTACTCTTCGCCTGGAACGGAATGGATCCTATAGTGTTCGTGATATCTTTTGCTCAGAATGACCTGCTGAACACGTGGACGAAGTCTGTCGAACACAGAGTCGGACAAATTTGACTTATAAGCGACGAATAAAAATATTTAATTAAGTCGTAAGCTAGCATTTGCCCCCCTCTAATTTACAAACGAATCGTGAATTTGGAAGTTGGTTTAAGAACGAATCTAACAATTTTATCCATATTCGTTATTAAAATTTGCCTTTGTCTGGTCGGACTGTTTAAAATGCGCAATATTGTCTGGGACACCCTGATGCATCGAGATCATCTATGGGCTCTTCTCGAACGCGCGTATGGCCTGAAAACGTTGCTGCAAGCATCCGTAGCCGTGTTCCGTGGCTGACGCGATTAACGAGATAACTTTGCCAGTGACTTTTGGTCGCGATACATCCAAAGCTCGTCGATCGAGTCGCAAAAATGAAGGGGTTGGAAACGATTCCTTGCTAGGAACGAGCTTCCACGCGAAAATGAATCCGTACTCGACGCGTTATTATCTGCGATTTACAACGCACTTATCCTTATCTGAAGGTTTCCTTCCTCGTTGATCACAGCTTTAGCCTAATCGGGAAAGTACAGAGTGTGACGATGATACGTTCGATGGGCAATTGTTCGTAGCCGCGATTGCAACGCTTCGCACGCGCGCTATCGCTAGAAGGCTTTCTGTGTACGTAACGCAACTACGTATATGTATGCGTTATCTCATCGATTTGTATGCAGGCTGCGCGGGATCTCTTGCAGAAAACTCGAATATGATAATTCCCACTTTCTATCAACAATATCGTTATCGCCAGATCGCTTCGAAGCGGGGCAGATGGCGATTTTATTTTCTTTCGATGTAAAAGAACACGAGTAGGTAAATGAAACCTTAGGTACTCTTATATCAAACGATGAATCCTATGATGCAGGTGCAAAATGCACAAATTTCTTAGATACGACGTTTAGACCGATTAGTCAGGTTTATCGTATAAATATCTGATAGGCTTGAACGAAAAGGTCGTGCAATTTTTGTTGATTTGAAAATGTATGTTTTCATTCGTCTTACGCTGGTCCCATTCGAAGTAGCTTTTACTATACTACCATGCAACTTTCATTGAAAACTTAACAACCTTGGAACAAATTTTATTTCCATGTATGCATTCTATATGATACATAATTCTGTAGTTTTAGATATTGTACTTGGTTATTTTAATCTTCTGTGTTATGCCATAACATAGGATTATACCGTTTTATACATTTTTCTTGAGAATAATATACATTATAAGAAGCTCATGAATCCGATGAAAGGAGTCAACTATTCAATTGTCACTAGAAATTGGGAATTATTGTACTTTATATATAGTGGCTGAATAAATTGCTGCCAAAGTATTTCCAATTCAGTGTAATAATAACCCATACATATACGGGCCATCTGTACAGAATGGGCCGCATTAAGTGAAACGCTTTACGCGATCCAGCCTGTATACAAATACGCATAGAACAGTCCTGTTCCACGAGTGGAGCCCTTCACAAAGTTTCTACCCTATTCAGCGTATACTTGGTGGAAAAAATATGACACACAGCGCGTATCGAACGGTGTGCGCTTAATTTTAGGGATGAATTCGATACCCAACGTTACTGATCAAATCAATCATCTAACGTTTAAAGGATAGTTAAATAAGCACGAGCTAAACTGTTTCGTTTGAACGTTTTGTCCATTACTTAGTTTTGGTCCTCTTCGATAATATAAAAGTTCCTCCTTTTGTATGTCCATCGTCGATTCACCAGCACTATTCACATCCATAATTCATAAGTTCACTTAATCCTCCACACAATACACCGAGATACGTAAATAATCTAAAGGTCCTTTCGAATATTTCACACGTCTTTCCACTATCCTTGCTTAGACAAGACTGATTTCACTCTTCTGAAAAACACTTCCAAGACCCTGACTACGTTCAATAAGGCCCCACCACCTGCCATCCCTACCTGTGCCTCTTGGAAACATTCCGAACGTAAACTATTTCGTCGTCCTTCAACATTTCAGTAAATGTACAAACAAAACTCTTCACGCCTAAGAATTTTATAACTTAATCCTAAACAAATGCTTCTTACAAACCATCCTTACAAATAACTTCCCCAAAAGCTCTGTCAACCAAAAATTATACAACAGTCATGGTCGATGATTCATAGAATGCACTGAATAAACTGAATAAATTAACTCCTTTGTGAGGGCGAAATTGTATAGACAAAGTTCTGTCGAAACATTGAAATAAAATAATTTAAAATGTGCTTGTTTAACTGTTTTTCACGTTGATTGATTTGTTTCGTACCAACAAGCAATATTTACCATTGAGTTACTGATAAATGTTCGTGTAAACGATTGCCCTTTATCTCCATAATTTTTGTAACAAATCGAATTACTCTTCCTGTGATACGATAACAAACAAATCAGACGATGTTTTATTTATGCCTTACCGTCGACTTTACAGGGAAACGTGCGTTCTACTTATGTACAGTATTTATTCGTTAACCCTTATGCCAACAAGCGAGTATCAAGGCGATCCTTTTCTATATTTAATCCAAAAATTTATAATATTTTTTTCGTAATATAGCAAAATCACTTTGGATCCTTGTTCTTTGGACAATTCTGCATTGATTTGCGGTTTTACAATAAAAATTTATGCAGAAACTATCGAGTACATACGCTTCAAATATGCTTATACTTATCTTCAATAACTGGAGTACTGGGCACACGCATACACTATAACGAAAGTTGTAGTTAGGTCTATTATAAACAGTGGGACCTTTTCGTACGATCGATCGATTATACCAGTACAAATCAAAAAGTCCTTTGTCATTTTGCAGTCTGGGGTCCCGTTATCGAAATACAGGGGGTTGATATTTACAGGTACGACTTCCGGCCCGCGCTGTTTGAATCCCAGTCGGCTGAGCGCGCGACCGCACATGGACGCGCTTACACACCAGAAACACTCATCGGCACACGATCACGCGCGTCGTACCACAGACGACATTGCTACGAATTCACCTCCGTGAACTTTAATACATTTTTCAATTAGATTTAATAATTATTCGTACACTGAAATCACGCGATCGAAACTTATTGTGCGAATTTCTCTCATCACCCCCCTTCCAAGATGGTTCTAATTTAAAAAAATGAATAAAATAGTCCCTGTAAATATTTACTTCGATTGGATACTGAGGAAACGCTCAAATTTTACCTAACGTATCCACCCACGTTGCTAATTTATTGTTTCTATAACCGGTATTTACTGATCAGAGGAGCGAAGGTATACAATTTTTCTAACTGATATCTTCACATTCACGTCGACGTATTGAATCTACCGGAACCCTTCATAATATTTTTAGGCAAAATCCATGTTCCGTCACAAGCGCTATCAGTCAGTGCTAATAATAAAATAGACTCGATGAACTCCGTATCTCGTGTGGAGAACTTTAAACGAGACTCTATTCTCTGGACTGCTCGAACTCAAATATGTAGGCCATTCAAATGGGTTTCCATTGTACTTAATTACACAGCTGCTGGCCACTTGAGTCGACAGTTACTCGAACGAAAGGAACATGAAAAGTAGTAAGGATGATTCCGTCGCAAGTACCCTTAATGCAAATTGATGCAAAAAGAAAGGCAATGCTGTATCTTGATAGTGATACGCTGGAGAAGGAAGAAGGTGACTCGTGTTCATAATCTTCGAATCAAGGAGACACAGACAAAAATATTCCTAAGAGCTACGAAACAAAAGTACAAATAAATATATTTTTTCCACCGAGTATAGATATAACGCGACAGCTATAGCTTTGAACAGGACTGTGCCATAGAAAAAGGCGTGTGCGTACGTGGCACTGGTCGCTAAAAAGTAGAGCCTGCGATAGGGTACGTGTTCTTGTAATTCGTCATGAAGAACACGAACCCCTCATTTCACTTGTATTTAATACGTAAATGTGTTTCGAATAAAGCCACTTAGGTCGCGTGTATAGAATGCGTGTCTTAGATATGCTTAAATGAAATCTTATTTGTTTTTATATTATTAGCCCCAGTATTTCGTCAACTCTGCTAACTTCAACCGCGCAAACGAATCAATCAATGCCAAATCGATCAATTTCTTTTCAATTTAATCCATTCTTGAAAATATGTGAACAATGTTATTAACGTTAACCATTAATTGGTATCGTGTATTTTCAATACTAAAATATCAGTGACCAAGTAATAGATTTGGCATTGAATGATCCGTGTGTTAGATGAAACTGGCAAACTTGGCAAAAAATTTCAGCTAATAATATAAATAAGATATTTGCGCGTATTTTAAAAGACACTGCATAAATCACGTGTACACATGAGATAAATGGATCTACTTAACGATATACAAGCGCACTAAATACGCGTGAAATAGCATCGCATGTTTTACTGTGCGTTACCTTAAATTCACGTGTACCCATGGACTTAAAGGACGGTGCATAAGCTAAGTATATAGACACGAGGTGTGAAGCACTTAGACAAGAGCAGGGAATGAGTGTTTCGCCCATCTTTGTATGGTAAACTAATACTACTATCTACTTTATGCCACGACAAATTTTAAAAGTGCATTACTAAACTCGTGTATTTCAAGATAAACTATTAATTATAGACTGATTTTCTTCTGTTTTCAGTTTTAAATTTACAAGTGTTTGTACAGATAACACGATGATCGAAGTTTAATGTGTCGGATCAATAAAAAATACGCTATATATGACCATTTCTAAAAGCAATTTTTCTAACTAAATATGAGAACTACATTATGTGTATCCATTTAAAAAAAAAAACTACATTGACCTTCCTAACTTGTTACCATCATTTTATATGGAAAGTAATTGTTCTTACACCTTGTAGTTGCTCCTGTCTCGAATTCTTCGCAATAGATTTATTCCTAGAATCTTTACTAAAACACATAAGCATTTTTCTGTGACAATTATGAGACCTTTACACCACTCGTTTACAACTTACAAACGGAAGATGGTTTGGTAAAGTATAAAAATGAATATATCGACAAAAACTTACTCATCAAACCGTCTTAGTCCAAATAATAATAAAAATATAAACGAATGACAAATGATTACAAACTACACCAATGCTAATAATTAAACTCGTCTGTACATCAGGGTGTATCATCGGTTATGCGTGTCGGTCCCCCTAAACTAGGCACCATCCTTTAGGTCCATGCGTGTATAGTCGACGTTCTAAATATAGAAACTCTCCTAAAATCAGTATAGCGATAACCTTTCTGTTGATCGTTGAATAAAGTTTACAGGCCTAGAGTCTTAAAATTCCAGCGCCCAAACAAGAATACCGTCGAACCGATTCTGAATCTTTGACACCCTAGTCTTCTTTAAAAAAAATTATATTTTGGCCGTCGACTGTATCCGTGTACCCATGAAACGAAGAGGGGACGGGGGCTCTATGTATAGAAAGGAAGCAGGATTACCAGAGAAAACCTGACCACAGCCTCTCTGCTCTACATACATCCCGCAATCCACGACAATCTTCGTGTTCCCCTCTCGTTAAGCTAGTAGAGAGGGAATGATAGACATTTGGAGGGAACGTGTCGCTTAGTTACCTTAACAACATGATGCGTTCCCTTTTTTGGTACCCCCTAGTAGTTGTAGGAAGTATATTGACGTGATCGTAGGAGAATAAAGAATTCAAAGACGATTGCAGGGATGTGGAAGAAACGGGAAGACAGCGATCAAGTATTTTCTGGTAACCCTGGAAGGAAGCGACCAAAAGAACGGTCGATGATTAGGAGCTTGTAAAAGGCGAGTGCGAGCGCGTGTCCGCGGCCTGAACACACGTACCGCGGGCGTGCGTATGCAGCATTAGTGGTCGTGGACTAGATCCAATGGGCTCGTGTAATCTTGTTATTTTCTAGTGATGCATTTATTCAAGCTCAACAAATAGCCCAATGGACTAGTGAGGACGGAGTGCAGCACCGACCACCGCAGCAGCCGCCGCCGCCGCCACCGCTGCCGCCTGCAATGACTGATGGTGCGATGCCGTTGCTGCAACAGCGTCATCACGTTCAATGCGAGCTGCATCGTCAACAATCGCAGCAGCGGCAGCAGCATCAGCAGCAGCTGCAGCAACATCATCATCATCATCATCATCATCACGCGCAGCAGTTGCAGTCGCAGCCTCAGCAGCAGCCGCAGCCGTCGTCGCAGCATCAACATCAACGTCAACAACATCAACTGCCGGTGGAACAACAACTGCCAATACAGCAGCGCGGTTATTATCCATCCCCGCCCCACACTGACAACAACGGTCTCGACAACGACGAGACTGAAAATGCTCAATCCCATCAACAACAAAAGCTCCTCCCCGACGTTCGTGGAATCGATGTTAATCAATTGCCTAATATTAACAAATGCCCTCTAGACGATACATTTAGTCTAGATTGTAACATAAATAATGGATCCCCAAAAGAATTCAATACCAACAACACTAGTGATAACGAAAATACTGCCCTACTGCCCCCTTCGCATTTTCCTGAGTACAAGCATTGATAATTATTAATCGATGACAGATAGTGTCCATAAAACATAGTGGTGTGATTTAATCTTGAACTCGCATTTTATACTGAATAGTGTAAATATAACGATAAACTTATTGATTGCGACATCAAGAACAACAACATCAGACAGGTATTAAATTATAATGAATTAAAATAATCTATATGAAATGTTTATTAATAAACATTAGTAAAGCGATTTACTCAAAGAAACGTATCGCTGTTATTCTTACGTACCTTCGTGTTCTTATATTTATTCCTCGATTAATACTAGTTCTCCAAGGATGCACCATCACATGCACCATCAGTTTCATGGTTGAGTACAGTCTGAGTTAGGTACAGTCTGGAGGTTCAATGTAACTCTGCGTTGCACTTCCTCCACACCAATATCCTTTTGACTTAAAAATATTAAATTTTCTTTCATTAAAAAATAAAACATTTCAAGGTTCATAATATACAGGGTATTTCACCTAACTTGACCACCTTAAATATATCGCTTATTTTGTATGATAGAAAAAAATGTCAAGGGGAGAAAGTATTCTGTTCGAAGGCGCCAATACGGTGATGGATATAATTTTTTTTTCAAGGTCATTTTTTTCGAGATTTCAAGGTCATCGTATTTTTTTTAAATGGGACCACATATTTTCGCTACAACAGTCTTATAGCTTATAAAAAGACGAATCCAACGATGTGCGATATGTTGACCTTCACGTGACCTTTAGCGAAGGAATTATGAAATGTTTGTCAGTAACTTCAGTACGCGTTCGGAGACGGTAAATGAAGGAATTTCAATTTCATTGAAACAGTGTACCGTGTAATTGTTTCTGGTGCTTATAAATAGATATTCATATTCTCCTTTCAACGGTTGAAGTATGTTTACAAGCATTATTATTGTAAGAGGGGAATGACCGAAGCGGGTCAATAGCGCGTTGTCAAAAAGCCGCGACGTACACAACAAGTTGCGGTATCGATAGCAGTGTAATAAGATTCTCCATCATGTACACTACAGCAGAAAAAGTGGAAATGATTTTATGATCGCCGGATCTTACGCCACTTGATTTCTTTCTGTGGGGGGCACCTAAAAAATACAGTTTACAATGATATTCCCACAACAGCAGAAAACATGCGACAAAGGATTCTACATGCATGTAGATCAATTACTGTAGAACAACTGAAAAATGTTCAGCAAGAATTTATTTACCGCCTCCAAAAATGTATCCAGGTTCATGGTGCACATTTTGAACACCTTCTAAAATAAACATTTAATTTAAGACTGTTTCAATGAAATTGAAATTCCTTCATTTACCGTCTCCGAACGCGTACTGAAGTTACTGACAAACATTTCATAATTCCTTCGCTAAAGGTCACGTGAAGGTCAACATATCGCACATCGTTGGATTCGTCTTTTTATAAGCTATAAGACTGTTGTAGCGAAAATATGTGGTTCCATTTAAAAAAAATACGATGACCTTGAAATCTCGAAAAAAATGACCTTGAAAAAAAAATTCGATCCATCACCGTATTGGCGCCTTCGAACAGAATACTTTCTCCCCTTGACTTTTTTTTTATCATACAAAATAAGCGATATATTTAAGGTGGTCAAGTTAGGTGAAATACCCTGTATAGTCAAATAACTATAGACGATTTTTCCTAATGATTCTGCTAATATACAACTGTTTTTCAAACAACACTTGCAAAGTATCTGTCATCTACAAAGACCCTATTTTTTTACTTATTTTTTTTTATTGCATTCTTCTGCAACTATTGCCGCAATCTCTGACAAAGTTTGCAAATTCTTTTTGACTCTATTATTTTTATTTTTCCTAGCCTGATAATTTAGGTAGCCAACTGCTTTGTAAGTTATTATAAATTATTCTACATGTTTGTAAATCTTTCAAAAATACTTCTAATTGGAAAACAGCTTCTGTGCTCTGTTTCATTACCTTCTGCATAAGATTTATTTTACCCCTACAATATAATTCTCCTTCCTCTAGTGTGGTTTCTTTTCCCTTTCTTAACATTTTTAAATTATTTACTAAATCAATCGTTAAACCGGTACAAAAACGGCTAAAATGACTATTGGGATCCTTTGCTTGTTTCAACAAACGAAAACCAATATATTTCTAAATTAATATACGTAAATAGAAATTTTCAAACATATGCCAATACGTTCGTCCATTCACTCGATAGTTTTAAAACACGTTTTTATTACTCGTACGCTCACTCTGTTACTAATAAACTAATAAACCAATTTTGTTTCGTTTTTATATATAGATGAGAAAAGCATTCTAAATAAAGATGTATACAAAAAGCAAGTGGTATAAACAATTTTCTCAATAGTTATAAATATTCGTATACGGAATTACGTACTATGTCGATATGTCCAACGCTATGTGTGAAATTCTTCGAAGCGTAACGTCTGTAAAACAACAAAATATTCATGGATTGCTATTAAATTGAGATCCTACCAGCATTTTCCTCGCAAATCAGCACAATTCCAAATTATAAAACGAATAAAAAATGGCAATGAAACGAACATTTTGAATGCTCGTTCGAGAATCGCAAGCAGCGTTCAAAAAGTTCCACCGCTAACTTCACGTCTTTCAATAATCTAATTTCTATATTGATCACGATCTCAATTAAATACTTTATATTGTAACAATGTCAACGTTATATTTTAAAATAATAATAGTAGAAATAAATTTCTTTCTACGAACCTATAAATTTCATCAATAAACAAATATCGAAAACCCTGAAAATGTTCCTTCTTTGCAACGAATAACGTTTCTAACAGTACAAGTATAAGTCCAAATATTTCATCTAGCTTGATTTGTCGATTCTTACAAAACACAATACAGCTTTAATTCGTTCGCAGAATTGTTTTTACATAACATAATTAATTAATATTTACTTAAAATTTCACTTTTATTCTACCGTAGAATCTGAGTACGTAGGTACGTTCAATGCCTGTCGATCGCAACGCATTCTGTCGAATGTTGTACTAAGTATTAATTCGCCATTTTGTCGCAAAATATAAAGCGCGCATTAATTTAAACCAGTGTTTCTCAAATGTTACACTCCATGGCCCCTCGATGAAGGAAAACATTTCAAGTGCCCCTTCAAGTTTAATTAATTTATTATTTGACCAAATTTTTCTTTTTCTTTGTTCCTGTTAGTGTACAAAATAAATTATTTGGTTTTATCATGCTGTCGCGTATTTTAGCGGGGAATTTGAGATAAGAACGCGGGTTGGTGCCCGTGGAGCGCAGAACCGCTCTGCTTGTCGGAGTGTGGGAATTTAATAAAACTAGACAAGAGAACTCTTTCGTTAGGTAACTTCGTACTTTATTCTACTGGTCCGAAGGCCGGTTAGAGACGCAATAATATAAGAAAAATCGTAGCGTTTCGAAGTCACCTCCGAGGTCCTCGCCGAAGTCGTTGGCCAAATCCTCCTAGTCCTCCCATAGATCCTCGTAGTCCAATCAGGGTGAAGGACGCATCAGATCCAAGCGGTAGGCCGTCCTTCCGATGCACGCACGCCCCCGCGAATCGGCGTCTAACTTTCCCTCCGTCTTCGGGTGGTGGTGGGAACTCGGTGGAGTCGCGCTTTTCCGTTACACAGCGGGGTGCCTACGTGGGAAGAGAAAATAGGCTCTGCTCCGAGGATCGAGAGAACAACCCTTGAAGGAAATTTATGACTTCCTTAGCGTTGCCAACATTTCTGGAGTCGATCGACGCTCCTAAGACTAACAAAAGGACAAGGCCTTTTCAAGAGGTTACGTGACTTACAAGAAACTCGCGATTCGTTTCGGGGTCTGCTAATTGGTGTCCTCTTCCTGTTTTCGAGCTCTACCCAAGATCTTTCCCACGCGTGCCACCAGCATCGCGCATCCTTAACAATATTCTCTCAATCACGCATAACCATCCGCTTTTGAATTTCGCTCCTAATTTACCTATCGATTATTATATTTCTGGGGCTACGTTCGCGTGGTCACGCAACACCTCCCTCCATATAGAAAAGGTGTTTCCAATGGAAACATCTTTTAAAAGGAAAACAATATATAATAATACTTAAGTATATGAAAATGGAATGAATACATATTTCACTTATGTGATTATAACTACGCCTCCTCTTCCCGCACCAGCCCCGCGGTAAACGAGCTACTCGGTCCACCCATTGTCCCGCAGGAAGCACGAGTCGAAGAATGATAGTTATACCACAGCATTACAGTAGCAAGATATATTCTATTACTAGGTAATATTAAATCGATTATAATGTAACGCATAGCTAGTGTCCAGTATTAATAGAGCTCCCTAACTAAACTTGACTAAATATTTATCCAAAAACGTTATAATTCTTATCCGATCTAAAATAAACATAACCCATAACATAATAACCACACTTATAAAATGAAACTTAGATTACACATACATAATATTAACATTAATCTCCAGAATCAGTAATATCTAGTCTTGTACATGCTAGTTTAAGCTTGTTCGCATGAACTATCTTAGATTTATTCGCTGATATTGCTATTTCTATCGTTAAATCATCGTACATTTGAATAATCTTATAAGGACCCGTCCAGCTCGAGTCGAATTTGGAGGTTTTGGGTTCCTTAAGTAAATATACATCATCGTTTACACAGAATTGGCGAGGATTAACATTCTTATCATAATACTGCTTACTCCTTTCTTTTGCTTTTTCAAGGTTATTTGCCGCTGTGGCTTGGGTGGTAGTGAGTTTCATGAAAAGCTGATCTAAATATTCAATGAAAGTTCGTGGAACTTCCCGTTTGGCAAATTCAGTGGGAATAATGGCCTTTACGCCGAAACCAAGCTCATGGGGAGTGAAACCGGTGGCTTCATGCACAGAGGTGTTATAGGAAAATATCCCGAATCTGATCCAATCATCCCAATCTGATTTTGTGCAATAATGTTTTAGATAATCAATGAAAACACGGTGGGCGCGCTCTAAAGACCCCAATGATTGAGGATGAAAAGCGGTGGAGGTAATCCTACGAATTTTAAAAATCCTGCAAAACTTCTCATTACTTTACTAATGAAATTACTACCCTGATCCGTATGAATGGCTCTAGGACAACCAAACCTGCTAATAAACTGTTCGGCGAGAGCGACTGCTACAGATACAGAATCAATATTAGATAAAGGAATGGCATCCGAATACTTGGTCAGATTATCCTGGAGGGTTAAAAGGTATCGATGGAAAACCTATTTCTTAATAGCAAATCCTTGCTAACTTGTGAATCTATACTACAATCAAGAGGTAGGAAGTGAATGATATTGTCTCTGCGCATGAACAGATAATCTTTGGTGGTAAGGATAGTGGGAAATAGAGAGAGGTGTGTCGTCTGTCCATGTAAAATATCAGTAATTAATATTCTATCTTCTTTCTGCATATTATCGCAATCGTCGTCAAGCTCTGATTCATTTCCCTTAGATTTTATTGAGGTCATTCTACCGAGGGTCCTCCGTGCGGTCTTGGTCGCAATTTTACCAGGCTCAACAGCCTCTGCCACGACATAAGTCGAGAAATTATCAGGCTCGTCAGCCTCTGCCACGACATTAGTCGAGAAAATATCCGGCATCAAAGCCTCTCCCACAGCATAAGCTGGGAAACTAACAGACTCCCCACGTCTCTGCCACGATTCAAGATACCGCAGGCCCTGCGATGTCTCCTCAAGGGCCGGACAGAGCGCAGGCACCTTTACTGAACATAGGCCACTTCCAACGGAATGTGAAGCGGCTGCCGGGGGTTCGGTCTCGCCGTCCAACCCATGTCCGAATGGAAGCTGGTCCACAATGTCCAGCTGGAGTGATCCCTCAAAATCCGTATTATCTTTGTTGACATTAAAATTTCTCAAAATTTCGCCCTTGACCTCATTCCGTCCAACCTCTGCCTTCCCGCGCGCCAGGAAAACAGAAGCTACCATTACTTCATTATTATACTCGCGAAATCTGTCGTTCTTCTCGTTCACGTCGGAATCTGCAATCGATGGCTCGTCTGCGCAGACGAGTATCTCTTCCAGACGCCTCGAACAAGAATTAGGAGTTTCGTCTGTCTCAGAGGAATTCAATTGGGAATTGGAAGCATGACTGGAATTTATGTCGGCGACGACGGAATTACGATAGGCAAATCAGACAATATCAGGTTTCATTCCTCCGCGAGTAGTCTTATGACTTAAATATGCACTTTTCTTTTGCAGGAAACGACATTTTTCTGCTTGAAGAGCCAGTCCGGCGTTTTGCTTCCTCGGAGGAAAAGATATCAATGATAGGGTTTTAGCACCTCGCCAAAGTGCCTCTCTCTTTTCATTTGTTCGATGCGAAACGCTCGCTAGGCGTAACCGGCTGATATCTTAACGTCCTACCGTCGCTTTTCAAAATTGAAGAACTGCGTTTATAATAGAACTACCCGATCCGATTTTCGTTAATTCTTGATAGTCTACTATTCTCGCAAATTCTACAAATAAATTCGAAAGAAAGGCATTCGTGGACCGGATGATCGGCTAAACGCGCGGTTTCGCAATCAATCTACACATATAACGGAGAGAGACATGGGGCGACCAACTTTTCAGAGTATATCTCTTCTTTCGGGTTCCGTTCCTATCGCGCCTCTCGTTCGTTTCGAGCCTCTTCATAGAGGATGATCGTCCGATTCTGTTGATAAATTATCATTTTTCCCTGGGGCCGTACGAACAGAGGAAGACGTCGATCGACGGTTACCGCAAATTTCACGTGGTAAGATATATTTTATAAATATTTATCAAAGTTTAGTCAGCATTTTTTTTCCCAGCGTCCCTTTTGGTATGTTCCAAAACTACTTTACTTCCTTTTCCTCCTTTTGCATAAATTACTTTAATATTAGTCAGTGGGTCTGATTTTAATTCTTTCTGTTTAATTAGGTTAAGTTGGGAGCCGGTGTCGACCAGAAATTCAGCGGAGCCGCGGTGGAAGTGATTGTGGGTCAAGGAGATGGTTGGTAATTGCGCGACACGATTCAAACCTGTTTCGTAACAAATGCAGTGGACTCGGCGCGAGGAATCAGGGGTTCCCTCCATATCGCGCCCGTTGACGGGATCCCCTTGGAGTTTAAAGGGTTAGCCCCTAGGTTCGCGGAGAGTAAGGGAGCCGGGGGACGCGTATCCTTAGGGACATGATCGAAGCTGTTCCGACGGCACTGTCTTTCCGTGTGTCCCGTTTTCCTGCAATTACTACACCTGATTTCCTGGTGAGGTGGTACATTAAACCGAGTGTTTCTCATATTCAAACTCTCTCTCTATCCCAGACGCAATATCAATGGCTTTCCTTAAATTATCCTCCCTCTCCCTTATCATTAATGTCCTAATATTACTATCACGCAGCCCTCTCCTAAAACCCATTAAAGCTGCCCGATTCAATAGAACCCTGACACCTATAAACTGCTCCGTATCGAATTTTTCCTTAGCTGCTTCCGTACCTCTATTTAAAATCTCGTTTACCCTACCCCCATAAACATCAATGCTCTCATTATCCTTTTGACGTGGACTCCTTAACTCATCATAAACGCGATCAATATCGAAAGACCGGGCAAAAGCAGATTTCAACGAGCTGATCAATTCATCCAACGTAGTTGGCTCATCGCTGTTAGATATCAGCTGATCCGCATGCCCCTCGATTTTATTACGGATCAAAGCGAGTAAGTTAATCCTATTTCCGGGCTTAACTCGTGAGTCTGCGAGCTTGCACTGGTTAACAAATTTAATTATTGAGCAGGACTTCCCATCAAAGCGCGGAACCAAAGCATTGGCTAAAGTCAATGGCATAAATATAGTCTCCGTGGCATCAGAAGGTAACTCGGTAATTTCCACGGCATCTGAATCCTCTGAAGAAGTTGACTCATTACCGAGGAGAGATAAATTAGCTCTGCGAGTAGGGGTTCGCGTGGATATTGCGCTCAATTCATTCGACTGTAAAGAAGTTGAAGAAGACCCCGGTGCATGTAACTCTATCGCTAAATCTCCCATCTCACACGCACTACTACCACTCAAGCCAGCCCTATGGTTTTGTCTAGCTTTTACGAATCCGGTCTTGTACGGCGGCATTTTGAAAGAATCTAATCTATGCTTACCACGTAAGATATAGTTCCTTATAATTATAAACTCTTAAAATCAAAACTTACGAACAAGGTGATGTATAAAAGTCAGCTAATATTCCGGAAATACACTAAGGTTACGCCTCTAGGATGTCTTCCATAGTTCATACATCCGCACTCGATGTGTAGGTGTCCCAATGTCAATCCTCAGGTGAGCCCTCACCGGTCCTTTGCCTGGAAGATGATTCCTCTGATTCACCGAATGCGCTGGCTCCTTGGCTCCTTGGAAGATTCCTCCTCTCGTCCGTCGAAAGTATGGATACGAACTCGTAATCGTCAGCAATACGTACTTAAATACCAACAGGTGCTTGTGATTTCAGGGTTAGCGAGCACGGCCGCTGAAACCACCCGTCTCCGGCATCCACCCTTGCCCTCAGGGAAACCGTGCAAAACCCAAGGGGGAGAGGTTGCACTTTCGCGTTGGTTACACTATTATAAACTGCTGTTTATCAACGTCAGCTCACGAGTCTACGAAAATCACAGTTCTACAAGTGCAGACTGTATATACCACACACACTCACAAGCCGGCAAGGTTAATCACTCAAAACATTTGTGAAATTAATGCGTATATTTTCAAATAATCCCACCGCTGTCACCAATTTTGTCGCGTATTTTAGCGGGGAATTTAAGATAAGAACGCGGGTTGGTGCCCGTGGAGCGCAGAACCGCTCTGCTTGTCGGAGTGTGGGAATTTAATAAAACTAGACAAGAGAACTCTTTCGTTAGGTAACTTCGTACTCTATTCTACTGGTCCGAAGGCCGGTTAGAGACGCAATGACATAAGAAAAATCGTAGCGTTTCGAAGTCTCCTCCGAGGTCCTCGCCGAAGTCGTTGGCCAAATCCTCCTAGTCCTCCCATAGATCCTCGTAGTCCAATCAGGGTGAAGGACGCATCAGATCCAAGCGGTAGGCCGTCCTTCCGATGCACGCACGCCCCCGCGAATCGGCGTCTAACTTTCCCTCCGTCTTCGGGTGGTGGTGGGAACTCGGTGGAGTCGCGCTTTTCCGTTACACAGCGGGGTGCCTACGTGGGAAGAGAAAATAGGCTCTGCTCCGAGGATCGAGAGAACAACCCTTGAAGGAAATTTATGACTTCCTTAGCGTTGCCAACATTTCTGGAGTCGATCGACGCTCCTAAGACTAACAAAAGGACAAGGCCTTTTCAAGAGGTTACGTGACTTACAAGAAACTCGCGATTCGTTTCGGGGTCTGCTAATTGGTGTCCTCTTCCTGTTTTCGAGCTCTACCCAAGATCTTTCCCACGCGTGCCACCAGCATCGCGCATCCTTAACAATATTCTCTCAATCACGCATAACCATCCGCTTTTGAATTTCGCTCCTAATTTACCTATCGATTATTATATTTCTGGGGCTACGTTCGCGTGGTCACGCAACAATGCCAATAGCAGATCCAGTAGCACTGCTTACCTGTCCGATAGTAACCTAAATAATTCGATTCGCGTAAATTACATATTTATATATGAGCATATTCGAAAATGTTTATCGAATATAATATTAAATGAGCAAGGAGCCTATTAACGCGACGTATCGACCACAAGGTATAGTCCCTTTCACGTGTAATACTTCAGAAAAAACTATAAAACAAAAATAGTATCGAAGGAAAAAAACATTGTTAAATTACAAATTGAGTTGGCCCACAGTTTGAGAAACACTGGCTTAAACAAAGACGGTAGATTAATTTAAAATATCTAGTAACTTTATTCCAGTAAGTTCTTTCTTGCCACCTATCGGTTTAAAGTTAAAGATAAGACGTATAGTTGTATAGATAGGTAGAATACTACCGTAGTCCGTAGTACCGTACAATACTGAAGACAGTTCAGGTTAGTTTCAGAGATGCCAGAAGTGCACCGAAGGCACTCTCTCACACTATGCCAGATCATGCGTACGTGAGCTCGTAAGTTTCGGAAAGTCGACAAAGGCAAACTGACGCATGGCTCTCTTTCTCGATTCTCCGAAGCTGCCCGAAGTAATTTCGGACCGCCTCGTGGGAGTCGAGAGAGAAAGGCTCACATTTGCCTCCTTGCTCTTGAACAACTGAAATCCGACCTCTAATGTAATGTATAAGATTTCATTTAATTTTTTCTTTTCTAGAGAAGATAGAGAAAAAGTTTATTTAATTTTTTTTACATAAAATTGAACTCTTCCTAAGATTTATATGAAACATTTAAAAGATTTTTTATAAATTATGTCTATGTATCGGAACAACTATAAAACAAGAGGTATAATTATTATTATCCATGGGCTGATTATAGTAAAAGTCTAACTGGACTTTGAAATGAGCCATTTATACTTAATCGTATTAATAATATACATATGTACGCTCATACGTAGGAATAATAAAAAAAATTTCTTTTTTTTCAATAATTAAAATATGATCAAGGGGTCTTAAGACGTGTATTTCCGTAAAATAAATTTTACAAAATTTTATTTTCATTATGGGTACTTTGTTTATGTGCGTCTACATACATAGGTCGGAAAGTAAAAGTGCCTGGACAGTCGAGAGTCTCAACTCGAGATTCCAAATCATATGCCATTGACGGGAAGTCGGATTTCAGTTGTTCCAGAGCAAGGAGGCAAATGTAAGCCTTTCTCTCTCGACTCCCATGAGGCGGCCCGAAATTACTTCGAGCAGCTTCGGAGAATCGAGAAAGAGAGCATGCACCAGTTTGCCTTTGTCGACTTTCCGAAACTCCACGAGCTCACGTACACGTGATCTAGCATGTGTGAGTAGTGCACCCGGTGCTGAATCTGGCATCTCTGGTTAGTTTGCGAACAGAGAGCTGGTAGGGCAGTTAGTTTGTCAGTTTGCATCCTAGGAAGAAGATAATTTCAGTCGGAATCGCGGTCACCGATCTTCGAGCGTGGATCGGAAGTTGTGAACAGTGCGACCGATGTTGAGCGCAGCGTGGAAAACCGACGACAGGTTCGATTAACGCTGCACGCATCTGATGACGGAATTACCTAGAAACATGCCTCCAATACGCTTATGAATCGACTGCACGATTCATGCAGATTCGTCGTTTAGTTGTTAAAGATGTGCGCCGCGAAAGTTTGAGCCTCGCTGTACGATGCAGTCCATTTATTGGACCGGGAGGCTGTTGTCTCGAGCGATATGGAACGGCATATCAAATTACACAGCATGCGCCGATCCTAACGTGAATAAACATCGCGAAGCATCTTTCATTTCGGGAGTGTGTGGTTTTCCCAAAGACTTCACACGGGGACGTATTCGCAAGGGTCAGTTCGGTGATGACGCTTGGTTCAGTGCCAAATTCAAGGCTGCCGAAGTGATAGGTAATGTCAATCCATTGGGTCATCCCTAGTGTTGGGATACAGTCAGTATGTACTTACAAATATCAACCGATCCAATACTCACAGTTCGTTTTGTTAGAATCGGGTCTTAATCGTTCAAACAAATACTTAGTACGGTACAACTGGATTCGATGTATACAGTGAGTACATACAAGGTTATCCTCGTGTATTTGCATAATAACTGGACTCTTTTTTCCGGAACAAATCGCGTCGCGAAACTTGTTTAAGGAATTCTATTTTTTGTGTTATTCAACGTTTCTTTTAATTCTTCAGGGGTAGCAGATGGTGTAGGTGGATGGAGACTATATGGAATCGACCCAGGAGAATTTTCTAGCTTTTTAATGAGAACTTGCGAAAGACTAGTCTCTATGGGCAGGTTCACACCCTCTGAACCGGCTGGTTTATTAGCACGTAGTTACTATGAATTATTTGAAAATAAACAACCCATATTAGGTATGGCATACAATGTTTTTTTTATCAGAATCTTTTTTATAAAACCTTTACAATTATCGAGATACTGAGAAAAAATTATTTTAGGTAGCAGCACTGCATGTGTTATAGTCCTTAATAAAGACACAAGCAGCATTTATGCAGCTAATATCGGCGATAGTGGTTTTGTAGTTGTAAGGAAAGGGGAAGTTGTTCACCGTTCTTCTGAACAACAACATTACTTCAATACTCCATTTCAGTTGTCTCTTCCACCTCCTGGACATTCTGGTCTAGTACTTAGTGACAGGTATTAAATTTTATGTATACAAATACAACCAAGAATCTACAGTAGAATATTGATTGTAGGAACACAAAATAAGTAATATGCCCGTAATATCTCAAGTTCTACTTTATCAGTATTTATTAGGGTCGAACATGACTTGAATCAGCCCGATTTAGTACGGCAAAAATATCCCCGCAATACAAGATTGAGGTACCCGAACATTACAAATTTTCGGATTCTCGACTCGGCCCGACTTCAATACCCGAGCCTTGGATCTGGTCGGATTTCGAAAATTATAGAGTGAATCGTAATATATGGTATAAATTATTTCAGAAAAATTCTATGGTTCGAAATAAGGCGAAAATTAAGAATAATGAAGCTTCCCGCGCAATTTCTTTGTCTTTCTTCTTTTTGAATTAATACAATCTCATATCACGTATATACAGTACGAAAGTATATCCAAATCTGAAAGAGTAAGGTGAAAGTCCCATTGAAAAGTCATTAAAAAAATCATCATATTTATGTTTCTATAACCGTTTGAGACCCCGCCCGATCCGAATCCGAAATATCTGATACCCGACCATCCTTACTATTTACACTTTCAAGCCTGTATCTATCGCACGTATGATACGATTGAATACGATTTAGCTAGTGCGTTTAACCATTAATCTTTTTTTTTTACTTGTGCTGAAGTCCAAGTCGTATTCTATTGCACACATATTTCATAAATTTGCAACGCCAATTTTCTCGAAAACGAGGCCTTTTCTACGTGTTTTTACATACACAATCACTCTTTGCCCGGTTGTGGCACTTGTTCCACTCCACCTTCTATAAATTTCATTCACATTATAAATAACAAAAGTAAAAGAGAATTTGCTGAAATTGGAAGGAAAACAAAATATTATTGCTTCCGAAAGACCAAACGATTAGGAAAAATATGATAAATTATACCAAGTAATACGAGAAAATGGATATCGTAAATGCAAAGCGTTAATATGCCGAAATGCGCGTTTCATATTTCATTAGTACTGTAACATAGTTGTACCTATTAAATTTATCGTTTTTTCGCGCAATAAGCATGCAACTTTCAAGATTACCGTATCTCCTGACATTTTATTAGGTTGTTGCAATTTTGATTTTGAGATTTGTCTTCCTTTTAATTCATGTAATCGACATTCTACTGTATTGTGAATTATATTGTATTACAATACTTTAACCTCTTCAGGGACGAATTTTTTTTTTCTGGTCTATTTATTATTGACAGTAACTATAATTATAAAAAAAAAAAAAAAAACTAAACGTCCACATATGTGGCCAAGGGCGTGAAGAGGTCAAAGAATCAAGAAATACTTGCAGATGGATTTCTAGGTAAGACCACCAATATATATATTATATGTTTTTGCTTTAGTCCAGAATCTGCAGATACTTCGAATTTTGGAGTCGAAGATGGCGATGTGATTCTTTTGGCGACGGACGGGGTGTTCGATAATGTCCCTGACCAATTGCTTATCACTGAAATGCGGAAAGTTCAAGGGGAACGAGATCCTATTAAAATACAAGGAGTTGCCAATTCAATAGCCTGGATGGCTCGTAGATTAGCTTTCGACAGCGCATTTATGTCTCCATTCGCACAAAGTGCTAGAGAGAATGGAATTGACACTGTAGGTATGTAAAAACTATCGATGCTCGTAATATTACACTAAACGGCTTGATACAATTTTTGGCAATGTTTATCAATACATTACAACAATAATCGTGAATTGGTCCAATGATCTTCGATTACTTACAATACGCATAATTTTTAATAAAAAATATAATCAATTTATTTATAAGATACATTTCACAATTTCTTATATATTATGCATGTACGTATCTCTTATACTTTGGTGATGGCTTTGTATTAACGTTGATTTCCTTCTATGATATCTTAACTATGTTTTAATTCTTATAACTAGAATGAACAAATTGTACAAATGTATTATTTGATTTGAAATTTCTGATAAAAGCAATGTCTCGAACGAAATATTCTAATTCTATTTACTTCTACTGTTAGTTAATTTTAGACTTAATTATTTACATTTACTCTAGGATAACTTAAATGAATTGAAAAATACGTTTTTATCCCCAGTGTGTTTTGTATTTTTTAGGTGGTAAACCAGATGACATTACAGTGCTTTTAGCAACGGTGGCAATATAATAAAATATGTACAATAGAGTCTTGATCATTGTATTATAGTCCATGTCATTGCGTATATGTACCTAGTTATACATCATTATATCTTGTTATAATAATCATTTATTATTTAAATCTAAATAAATGGTTTTTGTAAATCATTTTCTGTTTTGTAATTCTTCTTCATAGACACTATGAGAAATACCAAAAATTTGCGGGCAAATTCAATATTCTTTAAATATACAACAGAAAACATCAAAAGTTTAAAAAATTTTTTTCTTTTTTATAGAGAATGAAATTATAACTATTCACTATATGGCACAACAACAACATATAACCATGCAACACTGTAATGCGTTACAGATAAATGCTTGTTATCTTCATTTGTACAATAAGTATTCAAAAAATTATAAGAAAACCCAAAAAGAACTATCATAAAAATGAAATGTATTTAAAATTTAAATCGAAAATTAACTAAATGCGTTAAATCTTTTACGTAAAAAGATTCAATACACATTAATGATATACAATGTATACAGCAGTAATGTCAAACTAAATTCAACTATTTATTTACTTGCAATGATCATATAAATAACATTTTTATCTAGTATTTACAGAACGATTACTATCCGGTAAGTCATAAATAACCATCCAATGGAAATTCATTGCAATGCTTTGGCTTTTTACCGTCGTACATTTTGTCGCAACAAGTTTAATCAATTTACCGTTCTACATTATGTCAGAATGTATTCATTTGATTGAGAATATGAGTACATCACAGTATAACATGCGATATGACATTTTAAAACAAGCAAATAACCGCCACGGTAAACCCCATTACGTAAAACACTGTGAATGATATTTATCGCATCATAATATCAACAGTGGAAAGAAAAAAAAAAATATTAGTTCCCTGATTAACAACTACATTTATCTAGACGTAATACATATAACCCGATGTACCTAAACAAATGTATTCATTTATATCGAAGTATATACATATAATATCCTTCGTAACTCGTTACACTTCGTTTCTCATTCATGCGCACAAGTTACAAACACCAACAGCAAAGGGAATGCTATTTTACATTTCATTAAACATTCTCTGGTCTTCTTGAAATTATAACTTATATATACCTTTTAATATTATTTTTTATCAAATGCCCATAAAAAAAACTGATGTATTTTATTGTTAGTAAGTTCTGTGCATTCTGTTATCGAATGTAGTACCAAATGTACTGTTATGTAATTGATACAAAGTCCAGGGACTCGTCTAAAATAGCAGAATAAATAAAAATATTTACATCTCTCATTTGCAAATAGATTTACAATAGAATTTTTTGGAATCAGGGGTTTCAATTTCATAGTTTTGTAAAGAGTAAAAACAGTACTTCGTATTTTATGATATTAAAGGAGTCTTCTACTTTGAACAGTAAAAAAAATTTACGAAAATCGATATTTTAAGTTTTACCATTTTCTTAAATTTTAAGCTACTCGAATTCGTTTAATACGGACATTGCTGCATCCTTACTAAACAAAATGCTATTTGATTTTTACTTTTTTTAAATCAGCTTGTATAACTTTATAACCTACATTTTTTTTTTTTTTTTAAATGAAAAAATTTGTGCGTATAGTCAAAGCATGAATAAACACGCGAGCGAAATTCCCATCTCAAAAAGTTTTATGGTTTTCTCGAAAAAAATTCTCGGGAATGACCTTTTTTCGACTCGGAAAATAGAAGACCCCTTTAAAATGTTTTCTAAACAAAATGCGTAAAAAAAAAAAGGATAAGTTTTCTATGTTTCATTAAAATGGGATATTATGTCAGACACAAGATTGTAATTAAAATTTATACTACATATTAATCAGGGAAACAGCATTAAAACGAAGTTACCGATACATTAAATACATTTATCAAGACTAATTTCGCACAATAATATAAAATAATCAAATTTAAATTACTTTTGCTTACGTATTTAAAATTTTGTACTTTTTAGACATTTCAAAAATTATGTCCATCATAATCTCTATAAATAAATGGAAATGTATATCTCAGAATGTCTTTTTTAACAAATTCACCGCCCGTATGAAATTAATTTTGTGTATACTATATTCGTTTCTGAAAATCGTGAATATTATAAATATATCCCAATAATCAATTATTTGAGAAATACTGTTTCTATTTACAATTACAATTTATCTGTTGCATGAAAAATTGTAACCCCTGTAAAAAATTGGAAGTCTTATAATTATTATAAGTTTCTCATTACATTTCATATGGTATTATAGATAATAATTACATATTCTTGTTAGCAACTGGGAAAAATCAACGAACAATGTTGTATATGTAATAATATAAAAAATTTACTTGATATGCCAATTGGTAAGAGACGATTTGGAAGCAGGACTTCAAATTTAGAATCACTGCACATTGGCTTCTTGACCCCAATTGAATCCACCCGGACGATCTTCGGGCGGTGGCGTATAGTCTGGATCTTCTGGATGTGCGTCAAATAAAGTCTTACTACAAACAAACGGTACATGCGGCAGTATTTTCATCAAACTGTATCATTCATCGCGTTGTGATCGAAATAACTTACAGTATTTGCGGAGTCTTAAGAACACGAAAACCTCCTCTTGAACGTGGAAATACATCCTCCGCGAAGTAGTACATGTGTCCTACAGCCATTCCAACTAGATCTACCCATATTGTATTACCAAGAAGTATAGAAAACCCGAGAAGCACCCACGGCAAATACGGCGCCTATCATAACGAGTATAAACTGTACTTAATAACGATCCGTTTATTTGCATACAACATAAAAATAACAAATTTATACTTACTTGAAAGTTTATAAGTCCAAAGAAGTTTAACCTAACGAAAGGGTTTCGCCTTGACCAAACATAGACTAACATAATTGTAAACGCATGGCCCAGGAACATTACATTAACAAAAAACGCAAACATCTATGACTAGTTCAGGAATTTTTCAATTTAATACATTGTATAGTCTTTATAATTAATGTAATACGCAGTAATGATTCTTAAAATAAAACCTAGACATAATTTGTAAGTTGAATATTTTTATCCCTTCTAACTGGGGAGATCTTCCTTGGAGCCAGTGAAGGCAATGATTTTTTTTGTTCAATTGCTCTCACTCTGTTCTTTTTTTTGGTTGTCTTCAGTTTAAGACTCATTACTGTACGGTGGATCACAGAAATATTTGTATTCCTTCAATTGCTGATTTCAAACAGTCGATATCTTTTCGGAATAAATATTATTGGATCCTTATAGACAATTAAGTTTGGGCCAGATATTGCTAGATCTTTTTTTAAATATCGATTGTCTAAAGTCAGTGGTTGAAGGTATATTAATAATTCTGTAACTATTTGTAAATGACAAAAGAAGCATTAAAAGGATACAATCATGCATATGGCTCCAAAAATGAACATCATTACAAAGTCGGCTGTCCTTCTGCGGAATGATCCTTCTTCCAACATTCGACAATAACGATACGTGAAGATCATGTTAAAAAAGAAATTGAAACCCATATTTCCAAAAAATAAAAATGTTGTTATTAATCTCCATAGCTGAAAGAACATTTGGATGGGTAACAATAATTGCTAATTGTTTAGCGATTGTTTGTCGGACGAACATTACTCTACACTGTTTGTTTACCTGATATTGTTCGATTATTAGTGTAGGATTGAAATACAACCGAAACGGTGACATCAAGTCTAGTTGCTAAAATAAGAAAAGTAAGATAACCTTATGGTTATTTTTCAGAAATATGTATTCTATACACGTGGAGGAATTCCTCGAGGAAAGCTATTTTACAAACCACAGCAACAGTCGTGATGACACAAGCTGTTGTGTAAGCTCGTGTCACCACAGGCATTTGCATGTACTCCTGCCGAAACATTTGATAGGCCATTAGTGGATTATTACGATCTTTTGTACACCCAGAGACCAATATTGTTTCTAAACTCTTCCTCTTTACAGCTTATCATCACATGTTGCTCGTCACTGTGCGTTACCTAAATTTAATCGTTACCCACATCACGACAAATTTGTTATGTTCAGTTTTGTACACGTAATACGTGAAACTCGTCAGAATCGAATAACGCTAATCTCTCGATTTCGCTTCGCTATCGATAACGATTTCGTGGTCAATTTTCTAGTCGCAAACATTTAACGACGATTCGTTTATTTTCCCAGCAAAATTATAACGCGAGACAGAAAAATAGACAAAATAAATACATAACACAGCATTTCGATAATTCTGAAGAGAATACAGGCGCCATGAAAGTATGTAAATGGTAAAACCCGAATAGTGACGATTCGTCTTGAAAAAAGAAGAAAAGTCTAAACTATGAAATAAAGTTTGTTCAATTTGTTTTTTTTTCAAGTCGAATCCCATTATTTCAAGTTGAACTCATATTTTAGTTATTTTACTTCATGCAAATGTGGAAGTATTTAAATATTGATGCTCATCACTTAAGTTTATTACGGTAATGTACATTATATAAACTTGTTTAGAAACTAAGGATAATCGCTACAATAATATACGTTTCATTGTTAGTAATATCGTAGTGAATATTAAATGTGTTGTACATATTTTATCCTTTCAAAAAATTTATCTGTTTAGTATTGTGCTGCTCTCTATATACATTTGGAATGCATGAATTCCAGTACAGTTAGATTGCGATTCCTGTGAATCTTTACTTTCTGCGTTTATTGCACAAATCCCTGATCTTTTCTTCTTTTCGGCGGATCGCTACACGTGCTGGTTTTTGTCCCGCCGCTCGAACGCCAACTGCGCGGCTCCCCAGTCCCCGCAGGGCACCAGCCGTTGTTTTTCTAGGGCGGCGTGGCGATCGCCTCCCTAGATCCGCATGTGGCAACGCCATCACCGCCCAATCGGATAACCGCGCCGCACTCTGCCGACACTGCAACGCCACACATTTAGTATTGTGCTGCTCTCTATACTGGGTGTCCCGTAAATAGTGTAAGAACCGGAAATGGGGGGTAGGTGAAACGATTCTAAACAACAATTTCCTTTGCAAAAATGTCGGATGGGGCTTCGTTTTTGAATTATTAACGAAAAACACTGACCAACCACGGCGCTCGCCTTCCGCGCGCTCAGGGCCGTCCGACCTCGGAGAGCCACCGCGCCGGGTAGGTAGCAAGATGCGCGTTGAAGATACATCGAGGAACGAATACAAATAATTAAAAATACTACCACTACAACTGCTACCTAATTCGTTAATTACTACGTAATTAGTACGTAAATTACTAAATGGAATTTATTAATTATTTGTATTTACTGTTTCCGAGAAAGAAGGAATAAAATCTCGGAATTTTTAGGAAATTAACCCTTCGCAACCGAGTGACGCTTCTCGCCAGAGTGTTTTAAAATTAAAAGAAAAATTATTATCAGAAAATTAAAATAAATACGGTAAGAACCATTTGTAACCGTTTGTTATTAAAAACTGTACTGAAAAAGCAGACTGCGTACCGAAACATTCCTCGAATGCAAAGGGTTAATAGAGAAATAATTGAAATTCGATTGCACGACGAGGGTCCGTACCGCCGAAGGATTCACCGATAGGATCCCCATGCGGTCGGGAGTAAGACAGGGTTGTCCCCTGAGCCCAATACTCTTTAACCTGGCGATCGAACCCGTGGTCCGTCAGGCCACGGAGTCGGGAGCCGGGTACGAGATGGCGGGCTTCAGGGTAGCAGCCCTGGCCTACGCGGACGATATCGCGTTGATCGCGACGTCCCCCGAAAGCATGAGAGGGCTATTGGTTGCAGCGGAGGCCACGGCTCGGGGTCTGGGTATCGCGTTTAACCCGGGGAAGTGCGCTACGCTGCACGTACTCGGGAGCGGCGCGGTGGCTCGGACCGAGTTTGGCCTCAACGAGGGACTCGTTCCAGCGCTCGGAGACGGGGACGTCTACGAACACCTGGGCGTACCCATCGGGGTTCGGATCGACCAGACGCCCTACTCCGCGATCCGGGACGTGCTGAGGGACCTGGGGGCGGTGGATCGCTCCCTGCTGGCTCCGTGGCAGAAGGTGGAAACCTTAAGATCGGTAATAATTCCACGGTTGGATTTCCTGCTACGGGGCGCCAGTTTGAGGAAGTCCGCACTGGCGGAGGTGGACAAGGCAGTCTGGCGCGCGGTCAAGGGGTGGCTCAATTTGCCACAGCGGGCCAGCGCGGAGGTGGTCTACATCTCTCCCTCGCGGGGTGGATGTGGGCTCCTCCCGCTGGCAGACCTGGCCGATGTGACGACCGTGGCCCACGCGTTCAGACTCTTGAACGCGGGGGACCCGGTCGTTGCGTCGGTGGCAAGAGCATCCCTTGACACAGCGGCGCAGGACAAGCTGCGTCGGCCGCCGACAGAGGGGGACCTCGCGGAGTACCTGTCGGGTCGCTTGACCGGGGACTTCGCGTTGCCAACCAGCGGATGTTCCTCATTCTGGTCGCGGGTGCGGTCCGCCGCGCTCAGGTCTGCGGCGCGTTTCGGGTTCCGATGTAGATGGGACGATGGTCGGGCCGAGCTCTCGGTGGAGACTGCTTCGCGGGGCGAGCCGGTCGTGGTGTCACCAGGAGCGAAGGCCGAGATAATCCGCCGCATGAGGGCGGCAGTGACCGGGCACTACATGGAGACACTGGTCCGAAAACCTGACCAGGGGAAGGTCTTCGGGGTGACCTCCCGCCATGCGGTGAGCAATCACTTCATGCGTGGGGGGTCGTTCACTCGCTTCGCCGACTGGCGCTTCATCCACCGTGCGCGCCTTGACGTCCTCCCGCTCAACGGAGCAATCCGTTGGGGGGGAGGCGACAAGCGCTGTCGGTGATGCGGGTACAAACTCGAGAGCCTTCCCCATGTGCTCGGTCACTGCGGCGTTCATTCGGCGGCTCGCCAGCTCCGGCACCACGGCCTGGTTCGCAGGCTTGCGACGGCGACCCGTCTCCCGGGCGACATCCGGGTGGACCGGCGTGTCCCGGGTGTCCCTGACGAACTGGCGGCCTTGCGTCCCGACATAGTTGTGACGCACGAGCCGTCGCGGACCGTCCACCTGGTCGATGTGGCCGTGCCTTTCGAGAACACCTCGGTGGCCTTTGAAGAGGCCAAGGCGGAGAAGCTGCGGAAATACGCGCCTCTGGCGTGTGCTCTCCGCCGGCGCGGCTACACCGTCCACGTGGACGCGTTTGTGATACCACCCGCATTCGTCAGTACAAACAACCGCGTCAGCACTCCTCGCCAAAAACATTTGAATCACCATCCATATCTTCACCACGCAGCAATAACATCTGAGTCACCATCCACATCACCACCTAGTAGCAACAACAGCTGAGTCAGACATCAGGCCCAAAACCAAGCACCCCTACTCTACGGCCATACCGACCTTTATAAACCCTTCGCCAAAATAAAGCACAGACCAGTATTTCGAAAGTCAAGACTCGCGTAACGTTACTCTGTCCGTCCCTTATCTTCAGCTACGGCATAAGTCACGACAGAAGGTAACAGTGTACGCACGTTACCTTAAAGTTTCGCGAGTTCGTGTTTGTTCCAAGTGACGCGTAAAGTCCCGTCACACGTTCATCGTCGGGGCCCTGGGCGCCTGGTGCCCGGAGAACGAGGCCCTCTTGAAGACGCTGCGCGTCTCATGGTTCTACGCGAGGATCATGAGACGACTCATGGTATCTGAGACCATAGCCTGGTCCAGGGACATGTACGTGGAGCATGTCTCCGGGATTCGGCAGTACCCCGCCCCGACCTCGGCGCCCGATGTCAACGAGAACGCGGCGGCGCAGAGAAGATGGAATACTATAAATGACGACCGTGGGGGTCGAGGGGCCGAAGATATTGGCACCATCGGACTGCCCCGTGCTCAAGAAGACGAGTAGCGGGCGTCCACGAAACATGTCGGGCTTCGTACCTTACCCTATTTTGTTTTGTTTTTTTTAGTTGGTTGCACCAGATTCTATTTATTCTATTTTACACTTGACAAGTAGTCCGGCCCTATACACCGGCTACATGGCTTATTGATTGTTTGTTGTTGTTGTTGTGTTTGTCTATATATATGTATTTATTTATTTATTTATTTATTTATTGATCTATTATCTATTACTATTGACTGGTAACACCAACGCCCGAAGGAAGAGCGATACCTTTATTAGATGGACGCCCAGAGCGATGTATGAATGTGATAATATGCGACTACAAGGGCGCAGGGGGATTGTCCCTGCGCCCTTTTGAAATTATATAATTAAGGAAAAAAAAAAAAAAGAAAATACAAAAATTGTATCATGTACCTAATCCCCGGGGCCTCGGCTCCGGGGAAACATTTATTGAAAAATAAAGAGCCATTTATCTGTTCTTATCAGCTTAATATCTGGTACACTCCCCATCGGGGAGTTCAGAATGTTAAACTGATTTTTGAAATTAAGACGGAGGGAACGGAGCTTGCTCCACCTCTGTCGCGAGTCAACCTGGCATTGCATTACCGTCAGGAGTGGCTCAATTATTTATTACAAACATAAAGTTTACAAGCAACTTGTCTTGCTCCTTCTTCTGCTCTTTTATTTGGTTTGCTAATAATAGGAAATGTTTTTCAATTTCTTTCCGGACCAAATAATTATTTTTACAGTATCCGAAAATATGATTTTTGGATACAAAACTTTTGTAGAACTAAAGTGGAGATTTTCATTGATTCTTTTATTTTGTGCTACGTACGAAAATTTAAATTGGAAATAGCCGCTTTTTTAATTTCAAAATCTGGCATCGAGAGTTATAGTTTGTAATATTCTTAATGTCAATAACATTGTTCAAAATTTACAAGTTGTTCGTTTATTGTTAAGCATTTTAAAGACACGTACTCGTTTGTTAAGAAGATAATTACTATAATAACATAAATGTTATGCATAATATTTATAATATACCGCCGTGGTATCTTAAGGGGCCATTCTACCTTGTAGGCATGAAAAATACGTGTTTCTTTGTGATTTTTTTTTGCGGGTTATTAAAGAGCGATTAATTCCGGATTTTGTAGATACATTTATTATATATTTAGCTATATTTACGAATTTTTGCAACGCATAATATCTATTGATTACGCTGTTTTTGTTGATCATCAAACAACAGTTTTTACGAACGGCACCCGACTGCGTACGTGATATCTTGCGAACAAGTTATTCGAAATCCTAAAACCAACGATATTCTTAATATAGATGAGTGTGGTTATAGCATGAACTAGGATCTTTTCAAAAAAACAAAAAATGGCAAAATGGCAGCTATTTTACGAAAAAATATTGAATATTTTCATATATTTGGTTGCTTTTTTGTTAATAAAAGAAAAAGTATTGCATATATCGCAATTATCCTAGTTCATGCTATAGGGAGACCAATTCTGAAGATACTGTATAAATTTGATGTTGATATCTTGAATAGTTTTTTAGTTATCACGCACGCAGTGCCGAAAAATGTAGTTTCGAGAAAAACAGCTTTAAAGTTTCACGTCCAGTTGTTATACCTGCGCGCGGTACATTTCAGCAGGCTATAACTTCGTTAGTTTTTCAAATTTCAATTCAATATTTGGTAGACATATTTTCGAGACTACATACTAAAGGAAAATGCAAAAAAAAAAATATCGATTTTTTAATCCCACAAGGTAGAAAGGCCCCTTATGCTGGCTAGTAATTGATAATTTACCGTAAACCTTCGATAATCCTCCATGTATAGGCGCGAGTGCCATTTAAGTTCCAATTCTAGAACAATCCGGATTGGTAAAACGTGCGTCATCTTGTTCTACCAATCGAAAACCTTGGATTTTCTGTGTGCTGTATAGGTTTAGTATCAATGACTCATTTCAACATGCCAAGGTTTAATGAACGCTAGTAATTGTTAAATTAGTTTTAGCTTACTCGTAATCGTAGTATCAATTTAACACGGAAAAAGTTTGCTGAATTAAGGAATGCAACTTCTACAACTGCATAAGACATATTGTGACTACATTGAGAGAGGAAAACGTTAATTTCCTTCGAAGGAATGTAAATTTTATATTAATACTTGACATGAATCAAACGCATCGAGACATAATAGATTCATGTTACGAATCTATCGTACCTAAAATAGATTTATTCAAGTTATGGCCAAAGTTATTGGAAAATAAAGTTTTTAATAGAGACGATGTAAATATTCTACGTTGGAAGGTAAGAAGACTTTCTTTATTATGTTTAATAAGTGTACGAAACGAATTGTATAACTAGACTACTTTAGAAGAATTTCGCGGACGAAGCAACTGTGGGAGACGTATATTTAACTGTAAAAACACGGGGACCGTTTGCATTTGACGGTCTTGTTACAAGTCTCCGGCAAAGTAATCATGGCAATTTAGCTGATACTTTAGAACAGAAGAATACCACGTTCCTTAACAATGAAATCCAAACGAACGATAATGAAGAGACTGTAATAAATTATAGTACCACTAAGGAAACAAATTTTATTCCAACTATAGAAGGGTAATGTTAAAAATATTTTTAATTATCCCTATGTATTGTGAGGTTATGTTTTACCAAATGTTATTGTACTTTGTTCTTTAAAAAACAGACAAGACAACTTCTATCACAATATGCAAATGTCGGATAAACCCTTACAAATTCAAGTACGAAAAGCTACAAAGTTTTTAGACGGACCTGTGTACGAGCATGTTCAAAGATATCCAATGCGTAGTAAACCTCGTGGATTAGTTTTAATAATTACAAATATACAATACAAATATTCGAATGAAAAACCTAGAAATTCGGCCGCGCATGATGAAGTGAATCTAAGAAATTTGTTTACACAAATGGGTTTTATTGTTATTTCTCATTTTGATCTAACAGGGGAGGTAAATGACTAGAATTTCTAATAATCTGAAGAGATTAGAAATCTTTATACACGATAATTTGTATTATTTTAAGGAATTACTGAAGAAGGTAAAAGAATTTTCTCAACATCAAGATTTACGAAAAGTTGATTCATGCTTTGTCATTGTGAGCAGTCATGGTAGCGTAAGTGCCCATACTGAAATCACAGAAATAGAAGGCGTGGATTATAATCCTGAGAGTAAAGTAGAGAATTCTAAACGTGTTTTATGCGTGGATATTTTGGACTATTTTACTGCACAAGTTTGTCCCCATCTTGCAGGGAAACCAAAGATTTTTATCTTTCAATTATGTAGGTAGGTACCAATATTCTTCAAGTATTATTTCTTCCTAAAGCAAATTAAAAATGTGTATGTTTTAAAATCTGTTCATTGAAACTGATAAAATTATTAGTAATGAATCTGTTGCTGTCAGGGGAGAAAAATCGCAAAATTCAATAAAAATACCGAGACACACGACGGATACAAATAATTTTAATTCGTCTGAGGAAATGGTCCATCTCAAGGCAAATAGTAACGATACGATTAGAAATTACGCGGACATGTTTGTCGCACACGCTACTCTTCCAGGATACGTTGCTTTTCGAGATACAATAACCGGCAGTTGGTTTATACAAATTTTGTGCGAAGTATTTATGAACTATGCGTGTATAACTCATCTTCAGGATTTACTAAACATGGTGAACAACTTTTATTTAAATGTATTATTGTTATTATTTGTAATTTAATTAAAATGCATACAGCTAATTAATGTTTTGTAGGTCGATGAACGATTAAATAAACAACGAACTACGAAGGAGGAATGTCAAACTTTAGCGGTAACATCGATAGGATTTAATAAACATTGTTACCTCAACCCCGGTCTTTTCGAAGAAACATAGTCAAAACAATTTACGATAAAGCAACCTTTAACACGTTGAATGCAATTGTAGGTACCGATACTTTGTCATAAACAAATCCTAATATTTGTAAACTTTTATATGAAATTACTATTGTTAGGAATACTATAATAGAATAAGCATACACGCCATTAAATTATTAAATGTTCCTAGTTATATACTGAGAATAATTCAGTATAAATGGGAAGACAGAAAAAACTCATTCAGCATTCAATGTGTTAAAATATTTATCAAAGTTGTTATTTTTATATTAACTTGTCATGAATTATCGAAGGAATCTGATGAAGTTTATCCATCAGACGAGTTCGGATTGTTTTATACTTTTTATTACATTTTATAAAATTGATTAAGAAATATATAAATTTATACGTAATCTACATATAATTTATTTCTGTGCAAAAAGTTTCTTAGCTTTTCGAAATCGTTAGCCCTGCGTGCTCCAGTAATACTATTAGCGAAAAGCAACGGTTATACGTAAAAATTTATGTAATGAAAGTTTTGCTGCAGTCGGAAACTAAGAATAGGTTAGGTAAGTAGCATATTATAACGGAAGTTAACCCACATTTAATTATGTATATTAAATTATTTTAGTACGATTCACCATATAGTTTTCCAGATATTCAAAATTCATGTTTGCCTCGTTATGTCCAAACTGATACTCTATCAGTAACTGAGATTGCAGCTAAAGTTTAGGCAAAATGAATCGAAGTTTCAATTTTAGTGAAATTGGCCATAAGACGTCGAAATATGATTGATCTAAAAATTTGATTTGTGGCTTTCTTTACGCCTATGCAGCCATTGATTACGGTGCTTGATAAATATGGCGACGTTGCTCTTATTCGATATCACATAGTGAGATATCTACACTAAAAAAAGCGGAAAAGTTATTTTTATAAAGATATCTTGTAATAAAAAATTTGTTCGAAATTTTTAAATGTAAAAACGTTTTCAAATAGTAAATCTACGATACGATTCACAGGGGTACAGTTTTCCAATAGAAGTAGGGTTATGTCATATAGTTTGTTTTTTAATTAAATTTTCTTTGCGTATTTTTTTATGTTCTAACACATTTTTTGTATGAAACTTCTTTTACATTACAAACGATTTTTTATGACGCTTCCGCTTGTAAGAAATTATAATCGATTGCAACCATGCGATGTTATTATGACCTACAACTTGAACACTACGCAACTCAAGAATACTGTTTCTTGTTTAGCAATTCTTATTAATTTTGTCGATATTTTCATATTCTAACCGAAGCAATTGTTGAAGTATCAATTTAAAGAGTCACAGATAAAATATTGACAATTTTAAACTAGACCAATTTTGACTAACATTGTCGGGAAACGGCTACTATAAAGAAAAGGCGCTTTAAGTTAATACCACCTACGAAAACTGTTTGTTGTATCTTGATTTATGTTCTAACGATCATTACAGCAGTATATTAAAATTACAGATTACATGCTTAGCTATATTCTAAATTCAATTAGATGAAAGGATGATATCCCAACACTTTTACATCTATTAAAGTTTTCTGTAAGTACGTCACACGTACAGTTCGTGTAATCGAACAATTGAATTTTCGAAAGTAAGAATAATGAGAATTAGTTCAAGAAAAAAATGAGCAGAGACATGCTTTTGACAAACTTTAATTATAAGTGTACGAGTTCCGTTTGAAGATTCTGAAACGACGTAAGAATTAAATCGATACAATTCAGAATAGACTCAAGTTTTTGATACAAAAGGAAAACTATATGTTTTTATTGTCTTCCGCAAACGAATAAATCAAATGTATTTTTTCCAGTGTGTCTAATATTGTTTTTGAAAAAGTCGAGTATAAATATTAATTTAATTTTTTAGCGCCGCTTTGAATACCACCCAAGCGAACGAGTCATCGCCAAGATTATCGGATCAAAAATGAAAAAAAGGTAATTCTCGGTTTCCATCGAAAACGTCGAGAATAACGCTCTTCTTGATGCGCATGTTTTTTTTTTTTAGGTTTTCCTTTCGTTATCGTCCTGTACATTACCAAGTATAAGTAGTATATATAGCATTTAATACAAAGATTGCGCGTTGGAAGAGCGTGGTCTTTTGATTTTCTCCAAATTCTTGATTACCAAATCGTGTAGAGAACAATAGCGGTTACGGACTTCGCACATAACCAACCATAAACTCACATACTCTTTTTCGTCTAATTCTTCGACCGCTCTTCTATAATCACTGATGTGTGGATACTTCGCAACTTTACTAACGATCTTTCCTCTACAGATAAAATACCTTTAAAAAAAATAAATATTCTTACTTAATATATATGTTTTATTTTATAGAGAAACGATCATAAGATATTTGCTCACGCGTTACCTAGATATTTGATCAAAAAATGCACCAGCCTCGCTTTCGACTGTTTGTATTTCGGCAAGCGTATCTTCTTGAACCGATACGCCGAAATTATTTCCATCTTCGATTTTTGGAATTAAAAATGAGATCCACATTTTTAACTACAAATAGAAAATTTAACATAAGCATTAGAAATTTAAATTCGTATATTACACGCGGACGACGCCTTACAAGAATTTCTATTACTCGTTAGAAAATTTTTTTAGATTTGGAGCTTCTGTCTTGTTATGTTCTGAAATACATACCAAGTTAGAATCCTCCATCAGCTCACGAATATATGGTTTAACTATGCGAATAAATTCACATAGAGTCTTGTTACAAGGTACTGGTCCATTGGGTAGTACCATTACTTTGGTTCCACTAGTATTGTCTACGCTATTGTCTACTTTCTGTTTCTTTATAATGGGTGTTTCATCGGAATGATTAAGAATTATTGGATCTGGAATGGGCACATTTAGCTCTTGATGAACATCCGACAGTTTTCTATTACAGAATCTACATGACTCCAATAACTCGTTTAACTGGACGATTTTCTCTGGGAATCCTTTCAACAATAGTTGTTCAGCCTGAACAATTATATAAATATGTATTATATATTGTTAATGACTAATAAACAGAAATATACATTGGAATAAAACAGCATTTAAATAATTACTTTAGTTTTAAGGGAATCCTTGTATTCTTGTACCTGTAAGACAAATTTTAAAGATAAATATATTAAGTAGCATGATCACAAGGAATTGGAGCAATATTTTAATTCGATTATGAAATCAATACAAATATATCTTGAATCTATAAACCAAACAGAATTGAGTACAAAATAATTTATTATTAAATGATAAGCCACAACAAATGACGGTAGATAAATTTGCAGGCTTTATCCGTAAAGGTATAACACTAGCTAGAACAAGAAATGATCATAAAAAATCGTATAATAGTTGGAAAAAGGCCATTATAACACCTATACAACAATATTATTTCGACGTGTGGGTTTCGCTACAGAGATAAGATCACCAACAACTATAAGGATTCAAAATACGGAGTAATTAACAAATGATACGTCTAAATATTAACTGTACGATTAAAATATCTTTTGAAAATATCGTTGAGGAAAAAACAATCATTATCTCGGGCATAATGATGCCGGTCTGGGTCAAACGTTACATTGACCAACGAATCCTGTCTATAATTTGTGAATCGGACAACGTAACCACCTAGCCTGCCATTTCAAGTGATTACAATTAAAATCGTAATACAAATTATTTTACCTTCTGTGCTGTGATATCCGCCATTATACACTTCATAAAAAAAAAACTTTATAAAATATAACCACACTGTCTCTTTATTGTAACGTACAACTTCAAACAGGAAGTCGCGATGCATATTCCTACTACGCCATCAAATCAGAATCTGTAACTTTAACCCAGTTAACGATAATTTTGCCATAATTTCAATTTTGTTGTTAATCTCAACAACTTTTTCTCCCTTTTTTTCTTCCAAATCAAATTAAAATTTATGGACTTATAAGTTTCAAAAATATTTTCTAACAGACAACAACAATACCAAACGTCGTGTCAATTTCATTTTTTGTACATCAAACAACATATGCACTATACAGAACTACTTCCTTACAAAAAATCTTTTATTACAAATTAATTATGTACAATTGAAATTCTAGGTAACGTAAAATTATGGGATTCAACAAATTATAATTATACTCGTGATAGCCTAGGTCGGTGGAATATCTGTTCAAAATGATATTTTACTTTCAATCGATCATACGAATAAAAATCGATTTTCACGCTCGTAGTAATCGGCGATGTTTTTTATTATGAAAAATAAAAATAAAAGTCAAATTCTTTTAAGAAAAGAAGGGTAAAATTTTGCGATATTTCAGATTTTTCTAGTACTTCGAACAGGATAAATAAGTAAGTAAAATTAATCATTTCGCATCATAGCACTGTATTTCGTATTTTGCACATCACGACGTCATCATTCCAATCTGTTTCCGAAGAAAAAGTTGACCAACAAAAGTACTACTGTGTATAAGATTTACCACCGTGTGTATATATATATATATATATATATATATATATATATATGTATGTGTAATCAAAAGAAAGAAAATACACGGGCGTACGCATACGTGGGTACAATGTAACATACAAAAGAAAACATATATTAATATATTCAATCGAATCGTAGGAATTTCACATTTTGAAACAAATAATATTGTCAAATTGGCACCTATTATAAAGAAAATAGAATTGTAAAAGGCAGGAAAGTGTTTTAAATTATCTAACGAACATCGGAAAAAGTGATTTAATTTGATTCGTAACGACACGAAATGATAGTTAATGGTAATAATAATTATAACAAATTTTGCTGGTAGAAATATATATTAAATACGGCTAAGTGAGTTTTTTCGCTTTTTGATAAAGTGTGTCGACGACCTTCCCCATGCTGTGTATCGTATCCAACGCAAGTTCGTAAGTCTTGTCGCGCGGAGTATCTTCGAAAACGATTAGAACACCTTCACCCTGATCGAGAACACCTCTTAGCTTCTTATCCAATATCATTTGCGAGAGCTTCTTTTCCACTTGAACGAGCGGCAATGATATACAGGTCGCAATATGACTAACCTACATCGAAAGGCAAAAGAACGAGTTTAATGGATATGTAGGAATCTGATTATTGGATCGATCGGATTGAATCGAACCATATCAAGATAGACAATCGTGTACCTGTACGCGTGAATAAGGTTCGACTAAACGACACAAGTTTTGTTCGAGCATCGCGTCGTAAAGAGAACCGAGATGAGCGCGTACGATCACATCATCTTCTAGTTCTTCTCGATACTTTTTTACAGCAGTCTGAAAATCTGCCAGCGAACGTCGATGACTCGCTTCGGCAACTGCTCGCATTGCATCCAAATCCCGTCCAGCATATTTAACGGCTAACTTTCCGGACATTATTGATTGAACGTCTTCGGGTGTACGTAACATAATCTTCGATAGTAACATATATTTCAAAGCCGTTAAAGCTTTCGGGCTCTCGACGCTGTCGTATCTGTTAACAATTATAGACCGATGTAAACTACGAGCAAGATTTATACAACACCGATCAATATACCATTTAATGAGATAATAATTTACCCTTCGAATGCTTCGTAAAAATATGAATACGCCGTTTTAAAATCTCGTTCGTCGGCAGCGTGTAAAATCCCTGATTGTAAATCTAAAGCAGCCTGCATTTTGGGCGGACAATAAACTGCATTGGCAGTTGTTCGAGCACTTGTAAGGGCTGCTCTCGCTTTGGCCAAATTGCTCAATGCATGATAAGTTTTGCTCTCTAACAACTGGACCTCTATCAACAGTTGTTTGTCATCTAATTTCTTGAGCTCCTTGAGCAATGCTGATCCTAATTGCAACGCTTCGCTATACATGCTGGTATCGAAATATAAAGCTATCAAACGTGCTTCCAGTGATTGCCTTAAAAATGTTCTACGTTCTTCCTTTGCCCAATCTATACATTCTTTACACAACTGAACCTACAAGGAGAACAAATTAAAATAAATTATAATCTACTGGTCAGGATCGAATGATAAGCATTCGTGTTAATACCTCGATACCAATACCAGCTTCAAGGTCCAAGAAAAAGTCCACTAATGATCGTACGAGCTTAGCAGCTTTAGCTTTACTAATTAAACTAAGAAAAGGCCTGGTAGCTTTTATCAGTTCGGCCAATTCTTTTGCCTTCCCTTCTTTTTTGTAAAGTTCACCAAGATGTAGAATACCTTGTTCCTTTACCCGAATGTTATCTTCGTCATCTTCGGTAACACCGATACTCGGATCGGAGACAATTTCGTTAAGAAGCGAAATACCTTCGCTACGATTTGTCATCGAAACTGCTTGTGCCCGTTCGAACAACATTGCACCGGCCATTTGAACAATTTTCACCGTTTCGAAAAGACGAAAATCAGAAGACGGATAACCTCTTTTCTCTCCCTAAGACTGTGAAGATTATTCTCGGAGTTAATAATCCAATTTTTTTTTAACACTTCAACGTTCAATCTTGTGTCGAAAAGAATCTACTAATGCGTTAAATGACGCATGTGCTTCTACACACAGCTAGAATTAAACTTTACGAACGTTTTCTGTGTTGTCACTTTCTTCGCTGACCGCTTGATCGTCGAAATCACAAAACTCATGTCACGCTGCTACGCGAGTCAATGCAATCACCAACTCTTAAAAATTTTCAAACTAATGTATTCTGTTTCCAATATAATTTTTGTTATTATTCTTAATTTTTAATCGCGTGACTATACGCTGTATATTTATACATTGCCAAACATGAAATTGTATTTTTTCGATATACTTGAAATTTTTGCTTTCATTTCTTTGGTAATTTCATTATGAGTAAGCAAATAAGGGAGTAAGAGGGCATAAGAAAAGAAAAGAAGAAAAGACTGACAAATTATTTTCGAAAATTCGAAGTATAGTGTAAAAGACTCAATTATTGCCATCTAATCGACTAATTCTAATAATATTGCATTTTTGTCGTATTTATCTATTAAAAAGTATAGGTTCCTTCTTTTATTCATTATTATTTGATATTTTTAATTAAAAAAAAAAATTATTACAACTTTCATAATCCTTTATTTCTAAATTCAATAATTTGAGACGAACGTTTTGGGATCTATTACCGTCACTCCTAAAATGTAACCGAATTACTATCCACTAGTCAAATACCCTCTTACCTAACATTTAAATTTACGTATTAATGAAGTTCGACAATATTTTGTCTTGCATGTTTCTATACATAAAAACTTATAACATACTGCAATACTATAAACAAGAGTTGGTCTATTTTTATTCACGAATAATGAATACAAATTTTAGATTGATTCGAGAACTAACTTCCATGTATATTTCATACAAAATTACTAACAACATAAATTAAGTGCTGTCTTTTTTATGATATTAAATGCATTTAGTAGGTATGTTAGATTTTTGTGTATACAGGGTGTTCGACCACCCCTGGGAAAAATTTTAATGGGAGATTGTAGAAGCCAAAATAAGACGAAAATCAAGAATATCAATTTTTCGTTTGAGGCATCGTTAAAAAGTTATTAACAATTAAATTAAAAAATTTCAAATCTTTCTGGAAAAATTATTTTCGATTACGGGGATCAATTACAATCATTTTTGGCGAATAGACATACCCTCGAAATTCTGCGTATTCTCGAGAAAAAAATTCAGTACGGGCGGAACTTCAAACGTTATTAACTTTTTAACGAAGCCTCCATCAACAAATTAGTATTCTTGATTTTCTTATTTTGGCCTCTAGAATCCCCAATTAAAATTCTTCCCAGGGGTGACCGAACACCCTGTATACCTGTATAAGGAGTATTCGGTATTTCAAGTAAAACAGTTTAGACTTGTAGTAAATGGGTTAGGTTTGGGTCTTTTATCCTAGGTTACATCGACAACTAAGTAATGTGGTTTTTACCACTACTTACTTTTGCTATTTATCCTTTTTTTATTAAATAATCGTAATGTTTACGATAATTTGAGTTGAATGGCGTGAGTAAATTTTAATTCAATATACTGACAAGGGGAAAGTGATTTTAATTTTTTTGGTTATACTTAATAGTGTTATTTAGTGTAATTAAATTAATTTCGAATATTTTTAATATTTGAGAGTATTAATTGCAGAAAAATGTGAAAATACTGAATAATAAATATCTTTAATCGTACGTTTTTTAGATCGGTTTACTGTGATCAGGAATTGCTGTTTATAAATTATCTTCGCACGATTAAGAAATGAAAGCATTTCCAGGAAACAAACCAAGGTCCAATTTGCCCTTTCAAGTGGCTTTATACATTAATTTGTGGCTTTTTCCAATTTGGCTGTTGATTGCCATTGTAAACATAGATGCTAAAGTAAATACAATGTTGCCTTTTACTATAACTAATCTTTAATTGTACATAAATATCACAAAATTATTTTCTCGTCTTACAGTACAATAATTTAACGAACATTTATAAATTAATAATATTAGCGGTATTTCTAATACTTTCGGTATCTGAAATTTTAAAGCTGTATTTGGGATATCTTGGAAATCTTGGTGGCAAGGTAATCATATCCTACATATATTATAACTTTTTACCTATTTGTTGTGCAAAAAGGTTATTGTTAGATTCCAGAATTGACTAGTTGTTGGTTGATCTTGATGCTAATACAATTTCCTCTGATGTTGTTTCTTCTTTTTGATCGAGCAACATTACTGGGAGATAGCGAAGTATTTATGAATTCTTTTATGGCTTGCCTTCTCTTCATCGAAATTGTCACAGGTACAATTGCTCTGAAGAATTTGGCAGATCAACGTGCCAAAACATTTTACTTGTCACAACTATGCAATTCCTATTATAAATATTAATTCAATTATAGATGTCCAATATTATGTATATCTTTTATTTATATTATATTACATTAACAAAATTTTGTTTCCAAATTGTATTTATATGTTTGGATTAATGCAAAAATTGCAAATCTTATATGCTTTCTTATCGTTTTTGTAATACATACGTATCCTGCTATGCATTTACGTTAAATTCTTGATTGATATTATGTCCTAAGTATTATTACATAATTGTACATCTTCAAATAATTTATTATAATAAATTGTAATCTGTATGTTCAATGATATTAATATTAACAATTAAGGTATTTTACGTTGGGATCTCAAGATTGTGGGTTTTATAAAATAGCTGTATCGCTGAAACGTTTTTTCGCAAATTTATCAAGTAGATTTCCAAGTCGTTTATAATAATATCGTTATTGTCGGCTTGCCCGTCGTTTAATGCTTGTAAAAGTTTAGAGCGTGTGGGTACCATACGTGAAAGAAGCTGTTGATAAAATTAAAAAACTTATAGAATGTACCATTTTTTGTGTATACCCGGCCGATAAATAAATACGCGCTTACGTCGAAAAGCTGTTTTGCCATCCAACCATGATAGCATTCTAAAGCTTCTTCGTAAGACCTTTTGAGAAAAGCTACTAGATCTTCCGTTGGTGTACTCGTTTTAGAGTCCTCAACGATTTTCTCAAAAAACAATAAGATCATATGCAATCCTCTGTAATCAAGGAAATTGTTAACGAGCGAAGAGGTGATGGCAAGCATACATTACGCATACCTAGTTAACCACATCAAAGCATCTAAAGCGATTAATTTGGGGTCTGTGTTTTTTTCAATTAAAATCATGTCCTGTAGAGTCGCATTTGCTTGCCTGTTTGTTTCATATTTGGTAGAGAGTTTCTGCAATTAGACTCTAATGAATAAATCAAGACGGACTTAAACGAGCTTCTTGAAAAACTTACATTAATATTGAATTGTATGTCGTATTTAACCGGACTAAAAACTTTGCCGAGTTTATCTGAAACATCGATTGACGGTTCGTGGATTCGGTGTAAACAATTCGCGCTTTATGTAGGTTATGTTTCATATTAAACGCGAATGTACCTACGTACCCACAAGCCGCACAATGTCACGCGCTGCAGTTAGAAATTCTTCGGTATATATTTTTCCTTCGACGATTTCTGGAAATAGAATTCTAATTTCACTTTTGAGCTCATCCTTGTTCTTTTCTCTGTTCGAAGTGGCAGACAGCATAGTTAATTCAGCGCTTGGAAACAAAAGTAATATCAATTAAATCTAAGAACCGATATATAACAAAATATATTCTGATTTTTTAATACTTACAAATACGAATGACTGTTCTAATTGCGATCGCATAGGCGAAATTACAACCGTCTCCTGTACTAGCCATGCTGAACGAGAAACAGTAAAATCGCGAGAGTCTGATTTTGTACTAGATAAAAAGAGTACATAGTATTTGTGCGTCTTTGTCTATTCAGTGCAAAATCAGACTCTCTGTCAGCATTGTTAGTACTAGAGTCGGCTGTGACGAGGTATCTTATGGAGGTTGTGACACACGAACCACTGATAAGATAAAACAACGATTTGTTTTCGAGCTACGTTTTCGTTTAAAGAACGGTGATCTTGACAACTATAGTTAATTGAACTATTGAAATCGGTAAAACGAGCACACGCAGAAAACCTTTCTCTTTACGGCGCGTATAGGATTGTTATTTTTTACAAATGCAACCGTTTATTTGTTACGAGCCGATACTTCAGTTTGGGCAACACCAAATTCCATAAGAACTTCGATAAGATTGACTTATTATCTTTATCAAACTGTTCAACTCGTATTTCGAATATCTAAATATTTTAATACACTTTATCAGTGTATTTTATGTGTATATTGTGAACTTTAGGATTAATTTTTGAACGATGTAGTGTTTAACTCTTGTGTTTCAAAAATATTCGGACATTAAATAAATAATAAATTTACAATAAATATACAAATATATTTACGGAACTGTAGTGTATACAGGGTGTCCGGCCACCCCTGGGGAAAATTTTAATGGGGGATTCTAGAGGCCAAAATAAGACGAAAATCAAGAATACCAATTTGTTGATGGAGGTTTTGTTAAAAAATTATTAACGTTTAAAGTTCCGCCCGTACTGAATTTTTTTCTCGAGAATACGCAGGATTTCGGGGGTATGTCTATTCACCAAAAATGATTATAATGAAATTCTTTTTTTTTCGTCGAAATATTTAAGCACCTAATTAGATTTTCGGTAAGGAATTTTTTACTCGAAAGTGCGTAGGATTTCGGGGGTATGTGTAATGACCAAAAATGATTGTAATTGACCCTTGCAACCGAAAATAATTTTTTCAAAACGATTTGAAAAATTTTTTTTCGCCGAAAAATTTCAGCACCTACCCGATTTTTTTTCTCGAAAGTGGATAGGATTTCGGAGGTATGTGTATTCGCCAAAGATGATTGTAATTGACCCCCGCAACCGAAAATAATTTTTCCAGAGCGATTTGAAATTTTTGAATTTAATTGTTAATAACTTTTTAACGAAGCCTCCATCAACAAATTGATATTCTTGATTTTCGTCTTATTTTGACCTCTAGAATCCGTCATTAAAATTTTTCCCAGGGGTGGCCGAACACCCTGTATATGTATATTAAAAATTAATGTTTGTTTAATGTTCGAATATTTTTGCAAAACAAGAATTAAGCATTATTTAATTTACTTGTATTATGTTCATGACATGTTTCTTAAGTTGTGATTTATTATTAGAAGCGAATTAGAGAATTATCATTTAGATGTAGATGTTCTTTAAAAAAGAATAAAAGATATATAAATATTTAAATGTGATTATTCTGGTACATGATTTGAATAAAATTTAACATGGTTAAGGGAATAATAACCTTGTATGAATTTCTTTGATTGCCATCCGATTGAAATATAACAAGATAAATTTTAAAGAAGAATAAACAAATAAATTTCGAAATAGATACCTGTCCTGCGTGTCCGGGTCAGTTTAAAGCCGCTCCTGAGATCTAATTTTAATTGTTTCCGAAATAATTAAATTCTTCCAATATTTAGTCTGAATTCTAAATGCTAAGAGTGCTAAATTCGAATTCTAGTATGAACCGATAACGTTGGAAGTGACACGGAAATAGCAGAAAAAAGAACCCGAAAACAAAAAAACAGAAAAGAGCATTGCGTGCGTCTATTCTATACCTCGTGTATGACGAATAAGTGAACATTGAGCTTTTATATATTTGTGAAGTAATATTGATTACTAGGATACTAAGCGGCGATATCTTTTTAACTAATATTTTCACTAATCTTTCGATAAAAATGATAGCCAAAATTTTGTGTAACGACCGATAATCTCCAAACATATTTACCTTTTCTTGAATGAATCATCTATTACGATATGATGTATATGTATTCAGGGGCCATTCTACTTTGTAGGCAAGAAAAATATATGTTTCTTTGTAATTTTTTTTGCGGGCTATTAAATAGCGATTAATTCCGGATTTTGTGGATATATTTATTATATATTTAACTATATTTACGAATTTTTGCAACGCATAATATCTATTGATTACGCATTGATTACGTAATATTTTGCGATAAGTTATCCGAAATCCAAAAACCAAAGATATTCTTAATATAGATGTTTGGTTATCGCATGAACTAGGACCTTTTAAAAAAAAAACGAAAAATGGCACAATGGCAGTTATTTTACGGAAAGATGCTGAGTATTTTCATATATTCGGCTGCTTTTTTGTTAATAAAAGAAAAAATATTGCATATATCGCTTTTATCCTAGTTTATGCGATAGAGAGACCAGTTTTAAAGATACTGCATAAATTTGATATTGATATCTTGAATAGTTTTCATGTTATTGTCTACGCAGTGCCGAAAAATGTAATTTCGAGAAAAACAGCTTTAAAGTTTTACGTCCAGTTGTTATACCTGCGCGTTTTCTGAATATCAATTTAATATTTAGTAGATATATTTTCGAGACTACATACTAAAAGAAAAGGCAAAAAAAAAAAAATTCGATTTTTTTAATCCCACAAAGTAGAAAGGCCCCTTAAAAGTCAGTGATAGTGGCAATGATGAAAATCGTAACAACAATCGTGATATGTTTATACGTATAACGTGGTGTGTATGTATTTCAGTAAGAGCATTTAACGTCGCTTCAAATGCACGGTTTTCTTTTGAGTAGTGGTACATCAGAAGTTTTCACGTTTATTAGTTAACTTGTACTTTTTACTATGCCTACATGTTATTATCACCGATAAGGCATTCTAGTTAGTTCGAGTCCTTGTCTTTATAGGCGTAAATTATTTAATAAATAGTATATTTGTCGATTAGAAATATTTACCAAAGTAAATCCTATGATACCTACACTGTACATACACGTGTATCTGGAAGTTGCATTGTTCTGTAATTTTGTCGCATTTTTACAAAGTCGTTGACAACAGATTACAATGCTAGAGCTACAGCGTTTCTTCTTTTGTTAGATGATTATTATCTACGCTCATACATGCGTCCGTCACACGTACAAATTCAGTCGATATACAGTAGTGCCCACATAAATGACCAAGCTCGGGACCGGCCCCGGTCACTTATGTGGGCATGGTTGGTTCTCAGAATTCAACGGAGATAAGGAAAGAGAATAAGTGCGAGTGAGATACAATAGCTGGCGCCCGAAACCATATACAATGTATCGATAACGAAGCCGCTTCGCTTTTAAGAATTGGTGGTGATAACTCTGGTCACTTATATGGGCAAAATTCCGGTCGCTTATGTGGGCACTACTGTATCTAGGTTTTCCACGGAAAGCTACGATTGGGATAATATTTACAAAAGATATTATAATAATAATAATAATCTCTGAGATGTAGGGTTCTTCGTAAGATTGTATAAAACTCTGATTGGTTTGCGAGGTTCTGCAATGCGTCTCTCTTTTTAACACACGCATACATATGCACACACGCACGCATAAAATGTCATCAATATTGTATAATGACTGAATTGATAAACTGGCTAATGGAAGCTGATCCATCGGGTAGCTGGGCGAAAGACTATGCAATGAAATCGGCAGATCACCAGAAAGACATAACTGAACAGTCGGGGGGCGACAAGTATCCCTTCTGTGAGCGAGCTAGAACGGGCTAACATGCAGCGGGAGATTGAACTTTGCCGAGGAGAGAAAAAATTTAAAGAAGACGAACTTGACCTGGCACACAGAGAGATTGAGTTTTTGAAAAGCGTGCAACAATTAACAATTGGCGGCAATAATCAGGCGATTAATGCACCTCGTTCGATGCAATACGAGACTGCACCGATGGTGGCGGATATGCTAAACTATTTTGATGGCAACAGCGAGACGTATGAAACGTGGGGAAAACAAGTGCGGTTACTGAGAGTAACGTATCAAGTGACGGACGAAATAGTAAAACTTGCCATTTCGTCACGGTTAAAAGGGGAAAGCGTTTGAGTGGTTCCACTAAAAACCCGAGTGTATCGTAATGACGGTCAAAGAACTCCCGGGAGGTTTACGAGAAATGTTTTATCACAAGCAAGATTCATTTGCAGCAAGAATTCGAACGGCGTATTTGGAAACGGGAGGAAGCGTTTAGCCAGTATATGCACGAAAAAGTGATTATGGCGATTGACGATGCGTAAGAGAGATTTGTGCGTTCGAGTTGCAAGATGGGGTCTTTTATTAGAGGAGTTTAACTATAAAATAGAGCACCGTTCGGGAAATAGTTTAAGACATGTAGACATGTAGATGCCGGAATCCGTTTCCAGAGTGTATGTTAGTAGACAAAGGTGAGGATAGTATGATTGTGAGTTTACGTGAAGCGCAGTGTGAGGATGAGAGTTTGAAACCGATTGTCGGAACAGTGAATGAAAAACAGTCAAGTGGATTTGTAGCGCAGAATGGTCTTTTATTTAAAGAAATTGAGAGTGCCGCGTATTAAGCAATCACAAGTCATTCGACGTGTACACGAGAACGGTCATATCGGGAGTGCGAAAACGGAGACACTAGTTAGGAAAGACTATTGGTTCGCAGACTTAAAATCAAAAGTAGAAAAAGTGGTGCGTAATTGTGTTCCGTGTATTCTTGCTGAAAGGAAGTATGGGAGACAGGAAGGTATTTTTACATTCCATTGGCAAGGGAAATGTTCCATTAGACACTTCCATCTATGCAAAAGAGTTAGAAGCATATTTTTATAGTTATGGACGCATTTTCAAAGTTTGTGTGGCTGTATGCTACGAAGACCACAGCTACCTCCGAAGTAATGGAAAGTTTGAAGAAGAATTATCTCTGTTCAGGGTACAGCTTTCGCTTCTCATGATTTTCGGCAATATTGTAGAAGCAATAGAACACATTTCAATAACTATGGGAATGCTAAGAGCTAATGGACAAGTGGAGCGCGTGAATAGAACACTTATATCAACAGTGACAAAGTTGTCGGCACCAAAACCGGAGGAGTGGTATCGCTATTTGGATTGTTGTATGCCTAACTTATAAGTCAACATAGATACCATTAGAATCATCCTTACACAAACATCCTAGTTATAGCTTCCAAATTCCAGCCTTTCTAACATCCTATACCCGCTTACTCATCCTCTATTCGGTTACTCGTTCCGTCCGCCGACCATTGCACTAATATCTCTCACCCTCAAATATATAAACGACGCGCATTTTTTGCCTCAGGTAAGATCTCTGAAGTTTGTACTAACGCGCGTAACTTGCCGTAGCATATAGTTTTACGAAGTATCGACAATTTACGAGGCAAATATATACTGGATTCCGAGTTTGGCTTCGTTCGGATTGAAGCGTTTACCAATCGCGCACGTTTGCGTGTATTCGTCCGAATGTTCATAACCGTGCGAAAATACAGCAAGCACGAAACTTCAGAATGCCGTCGGAAGAGGGTATTTGAGCACGTTGCCGGCTGAATCCTCGGCGAAGAGAGTCAGGGCGGCAAGACAATGTTGTGGAGCTGGCGGAACTAGCGCTTCCAAGGGTGGTCGTGACCCCGGAAATTGCCGGGATCCAACCACCATCTCCCCCGACGTTTCTCTAAGCTCTATCACCCGTACTCCGAAACGTGATCGTACAACGTTCCTGTCGTAAAAATAAGTATTATTGTCTTACGAGTAACGTGAAACGAGAGCAAGTAAATGTAAAAGAACAAACCAGGAAGATTTCCAGTCATAGCCCGGACTTACGTAATTAATTTCAGAATAGCTGACGCAAGTCAAGATAATCATTAGATTAAAAGATGATTTTTTCATTCTTTAGCAATTGTCTGAAGTCTCGAGTCACATACTTATTATCTACATGTTTAAAGTCTGATTTAATCCTACTATCAATATGTATCAATTGTAGTTTTAAAGTAACAGTATAGTTCATAAACGGGCAGTGTACAGCAACTATTTTACAATACCTCACACTAGGGTGGGTGCAGTTGGAATTGGAATTTACCTTTCAATTTATATTTTATAGGGGAGAGTATTATTTTACCTTTTGCCATCGTATTCGATATGATAGTGCGGAGCGGGAAAGTAGTCCATCTCGCTGTTGAACCACCGATGATAAGCGAGGAACGCCGCGCACGAAGGCGACCAAAATGTCCGGTCTGTCTGGGAATTAGAGGCAGTTTGTTCCGACGCGGATTGTAGGAGGGTCTTGGTGAAGGATCTGTTAAGTTTCGGACTACCGGGTGCGGATATTCTACCGTGTAATCGCGGAGGGCTTTGAGAGGGCGAGGGTCGTGATGTTTCGGAGAGCGAACGATTCCTTCGGGGGCTATTCAACAGAGGAAACGGTTCTTGCACAGTGACCGTCACGCTGAGCGGTCTGCTCAACGCGACGGTCGTGTGCTGGGGATCTCTTCGTAGAACGGGATTACGATTCAAGTCGACACCAGACGCGCTGACGAAGACCCGATCGACGTAGTCGACATCCCGACCCATTATTCCCTCGTGAGCGTGACCGAGATCGAACGTGTGACCTAATTCGTGGAGGACCGAACCGAGACCGGTGGCTAGACAGCCGCCGTACGTGCCGCGGTAATTGCTGTCGTCCATCAGCTGTTCCGTATCGACGACCGTCGTGTCGAGGAATCTCGGCAACACTTGTGCCATGCAGGTGGGCCACGTGTGCAGGCAAGCCGAGCCGTACAACGCCAAACCGCCGCCGCCGAGAGCCGCGTGACCTTGCGTCCTCGCGAGAGTGTCCTCGTAAGTGAATGGAATTGGCGCGCCCCGATACCTCGTGCAAGAGAGAATCGCTAGATACTTTCGATCCTTCGACCACAAAGGGCCGGTCAACAATTCCACCGCGATCACTTCCCAGAGTTCCAGCTGATTCATCGTGCGCGCCCTGTCGACGTCGAGCGTGCTGTACATGATCAAGCATTCCGGACCGTCCAAGTCTCGTTCCAACTGAAACGTTTTTCTACCGTAACCCGCCTCCCTTAATTTCTCCGCGGTAAGGGCCTGCAGGAGACGGGCACCGAGCCCTATCCTGGTCGCGGCGCTCTCCGGCGAACAATCCTCCCCGCGCGGACCTTGGAAGTATCCGTCGTGGCCGGAGCAAATCACGTAGACCGGCGTCACGCGTAATCTGGTGGTTCTCGGCTCGTGGACGAGATGCAGCGTTTTCCTTTGCCCGGCAGCCTCCAATTCCAATTTGTTCGGGCCCCGCGACAATTCCACCACGGCGCGAAATTCACCGGCCACGATCGGCCATTCGAAACTCTGGTTCTTCTGGTTCCGTACGGTGATGAAGCCGCACGGCGTCGGCGTACGGCCGCGTATCAACGCTAAACTGTAGCTCAAACTCTCCCCGTCCACTAAATTCAACACCGATATCTCTTCCGGATTTCCGTTTCGCGCGGATCTGCATTGCCGATTCTCACGCTCCTGCGAGAATTGTCTGCCACTGCTGTATCGGTACCTACGTTGCTGCTGCTGTTGCTGCTGCTCGCAACGAAGATTCGGCAGATTCGTGTCTGCAAGTACCTGCGGAATTTTTTAGTTTTACATACGGTTTCAGTGATCTTTTTCTTTTTTTTTGCGAAATCACGTGACGTGGTTGATGAAGGTGCAACGGGCACCTTCTTCCTTAATAGATAACAAACCAGACACAACAATGATGAATCGACTGGCTGCTTCCTAAAGGAACCACGCATTACCATCCACAGACCTTACCAAAACTTTTACCTTGACAACTGACGCAAGTAACGACGGAATAGGAGCAATATTATCTCAAGACGATCATCCGTGCTGTTATATTTCAAGAACTCTTAACGCACCCGAGAAAAATTATAGTACGACAGAAAAGGAATTTTTAGCAATAGTTTGGGCAATCAAAAGACTTAGACAGTATTTGCTTGATAGAAAATTCATAATTCAAACAGATCATCAAGTTTTAAATTGGTTAAATAGTTGCAAAGACCCCTTGTCAAGACTTATGCGACAGAGACTTAGGTTAGAGGAGTACGAATACGAAATGGAATACAAAAGAGGCAAAGAAAATAAAGCAGCCGATTATCCAGACTTTACCCAATAGAAACTGACCAACAATTGTTACGAAACTTGGCAGATAACGGATCATTAGACGAATATAGTAATTGGAAAGAATCACCTTCAATAGCACCCTTCACTACAAAAGTCAATCGAGAAATATTTGTACAGTTAGCTAAGGAAATATTAGAAGACTGACGAACCCAAATGGTTACATTTATTATATGATTTATGTTCGGCATGCTCTAAGAAAGAAATCAATATAGGTATAAATGATGAATTACTAAGCAACTATGAAAAAGTACATATACAACTAATGTTACGATTCTTAGCCACCAAATTTCCACAACTAAAAATTACCTATTCACCTGACCCGCCTAAAAAATATAGTTCAGAAGAAAAGGAAACAATATTAAAAGAAAATCATAATGCCATAGTGGGGCATCTAGGTACACACGAAACTCTTAAAAGAATTCAAGAAAACCATCAATGGCCTTGGATGCAAAAGGATGTGGAACAATTTATTCAAAATTGTACTATATATCAACAAGAAAAATTAGGATAAAAAAATACATATTGGAAACAATACAGATCCAACGCTCTTGCTTGAAAATCTTGAGCAAGCTCCTAGACTAACATGTAATTTCAATCAGTTCAAAACAACGCTAAATAATATTGATCAACAAATTGGATAACTACAATATGAACATAGAATTAAAACATTAACCTCGTATGGATGGACAGCTTAAATGTAATGTATTCCAAATATTCACAAAATGTATACCTCGTAAACTCTGTATCAACATATTATGTTCAAAATCTTCTATTGAACATCACCAGAATATAACGCCAACAGCCCCAAATATTCATGAAGAATTACAACTTCAAGAATTGGCAACCAATCAATCTGTGGTAACACCGATACGTCGGAAGAAAGTACGTTTTGAGGGTCCAAGACGAATCTAAACAGAGGGGAATGTGACCAGCACCTTCTTCCTTAATAGATAACAAACCAGACACAACAATGATGAATCGACTGGCTGCTTCCTAAAGGGACCACGCAATCCCATCCGAAGCTCCACCTTTCCTTTCCCTCCCGGATGATACTATAAAAACCCAGTTCCCTCCAGCACTGGAGCTTCTTTAACAATCTTAACCTTGTACTTAAAGCTTACATTTAAAACGTGTCAAATAAACATATACATATATATATCTATAATTTGAAACATCTTATATGTTGTGCGACGTGACAAAGGCGACGAAGATGGCGACGAAGATGGCGACGAAGACGGTGACGATGACGATGACGATGACCACGTTAAACGCACGATCGGTTCGCATCGGTGAGTAACGTTGACATCGATGTACCGAACTATGCGTAAAAAAGTAACGAACGATTCTCGCGCCGCGACCGTGACCGCGTCGATCGAACGACGATTCCAAGAGGTGCTGCGATCTTGTGGTGATTTACAATAACTCCAAACCGAGTGAAGTCTTCGAAGTTTTGCTTCCTTTCCGTCGTGTTTTTTTTCGTCGTTTCAGTCGCGCGGATATACAAAATGTCGCAAGGGACGGGACGAGTCCGATAACTCTGAGCGATTCGTCGATCCACCTTGAATCAGCAATGGAAAGTCGCGCGGTATTTCGGACGTACATCGGAATAAATTGATCGCGGCCGGGAAAATGCGTACAATGATTATCGTGACCGATTGCGTGACGAGAAACGGAAGTAGTAAAATAGCGAAGCAACGAACAACAATCGTACGAACTCCGAGAACAGAGGGATATTTCGCGGTAGACGTTAGAAGCGAAACAAAGAATTTGAAGCGACGTGACGTTTATGACAGACGATTTTAAATTCGAGTCGTATTATCAATGATGTACTTGCGCGTGATTGGTACAGATTGAATGGTAGATGCTTCGGTTGTCGACTTACCATTTTATAGAAGCGTGTCGAATCGGTAGGCGAACACGTTAGGAGGAAAAAGAAGAAAGGAAAGAGCTAAACGATGCTTCAGCCGGCTCCGTACACGCGGAGAGAGAGACTGTGGCGCCGAGACGACGACGAACAGTGGACGGCGGGTTGCGGTACTACGGCGTCGCTGCAGCGGCGCATGCAGTCGCGCACCCGCATTCGGGCTTTTCTTGCTTCTCTCTTTCTCCTGTTCCCTTTGTCTCACCCTTTATATAAAAGGGTGTTTTCCACACCCCTGCCTACCCCATCCCTGTACTTTTTCGCCTACCGGTTAACGCGTTAGCTACATAAGTACCATCGATGGTGCAAGATGCATTTCATTCTACGCTTTTCGTCGAGTAAATCGTCGTTTACAACCCTTAAGGGAGTAATTCTGGTCTGGAAGGTCAATTGTTAAGCCTTCTTCAAGAATTTTTTGCGAGAAAACCGTATGACCTTTTTATGCGATTTTTAAAACACATATTCATTATCACTTTATGCATGCACCCCATTTTTTTTCAATGGAAAATAATGAGAATTGCGTATGCTAGTGGTCCGACGGCATGCAAAATTCCAACCGTTTCGTTAGTCTAAAATAAAAATGAGATCTCGATTAACATGAATATAGCTATCACGAATCACAGTAAATACAAAATCTGGATAATTAAAAAAATGTCGATATAGCTTTTGTCATATATTTGGGGTATAAATAGTGTTAGCGTAGGGTCAGGGATGTCTTACTACGGCCTTGTCTTTCCCTCGATACCCTAAGCACGTGCTTATTCTGATTAATGATTGATGCACTGACGTACGGTGATGCATGTGTTGAACATACCACGCTTGGAGATTAAATAATTTTTCTCAAACGATAATCATTCATTACTCTGTAAAAAAAGAAACTAAAGACTAAATATTATGATTTAATTTTATTGTTAAGTACTCCCGACTATCGACCTCACAAAAAGTGAACGGTTACTCGATTACGATTATCGTTTAATGGGAGAAACCACCTTTGAAGATGGGAAAAATAATAGAATTATAGAATATTTTATTTATTCAACGATATCATAAAATCAAAATAAGGAAATTGTACGATATAACTATACCATGCAGGGCGAAATGGCGAGGTTCATAGAATAAAGTTACTTTGCAACTTAACCCAAATTTGTTCAAGTAGATACGTGTCATAACTCGAGCACATCACTCAGGAAAATTGGCCACATTTTTGTTCATATAAGAAACACCGAGCAACTTAGTCTAGATAAACATTCATTTGAATATTACAGATGGAATAAAAAGCTTGACTTACAATTTTATTATTTCTTTCGAGTTTCCAAATAAATCCTCAAGAATGTATTTTTATATAGTCCAATCGTCTAAACACGCAAACAAAGAATTATTTATGTAATCAGCGACGATCGATCTTTTTTTCAACAGAGGCAAGCGGTGTCTGACTCGTTCGCTGCAATCTACTTATTATGACGTATGGCAACTTGCCGAATCTGAATTACTCGACGTAGGCACAAATCAAACATTCGTGGCACGTTGGGTCGATTTATTCGCGAGAATCCGAAAAAAGGCTCGAAACGTTCGTGGAAAGGGGTTGAGAAATGGGAATGAGTTTTCGATTCGATCTTCGAATTGGATTCTACGACCCATCCAATTGTGTCTCGTCGCGGGACGCAAATTTACTATTTACGGGTGTGGGTTCGTCACTGAATGGGAAAACCGTCACCAACAGACCCAGTGACCTACTTCTTTCCGAAGGTTACACGAGAAATGGTTTGCATGTTTATAAGTTTGTAATGCGATATGACGATTTGCGTTCCGCAGTTAGCGTTAGCTTCGCCGCCAACGATTCCATGCGAACTATTCGAATGGAACACGACTCGCAGGAGGCTAGAGAGAAAGGAGAAGAGGGTGAAAGATGAACCGCCAGAACCTTTTTATCAAGAAGTAGGCGTAATCGCTTTCGAAAGATTTCATATAGATTCATCGTTTTGCTTCGAATCGCGTGGCTAACAGTATCACTTGCCCAAGGTAGCCATACTCGACCATTTTCTTTTTCTCAAACTAAAAGTGAAAATTTTGTAATATCTACAAAAATACAGCACTAAATGTGTGATTTTATAATCAGTATTATTTACAATATGTCAATAATGAGTGGGAGTGCTTCGGGCAGCAGGTAGAGTATGCCTTAACTTTGAAATGAAAGGAATCGATCGGTGGTTTTGAACGAGAATATCGTTTGAGTTTCCGCATCGTTGTTCGAGCAGCAACCTTCTCTCTATTATATACGTCACATGTGTCACGCATACTAAATAGATAGTAAAGTTTATTTCATATTGTTTTCAATGAAACACGACTAAATACCGTCTATAACACAGTGAGAAGTCTTTTACACGCCACTCCGTTTTTTCCTCGTGGCTGCTGCGATAGCGAATGAAATAATACGAAAACGGATAAAATGTTTCGTTTTCATTTTAAAATGTAAATCTACTTCAAAAACTTAAATAAATTCTCAATTGCAATTTCATTTCAATGCCGTTCAAAAGTCACTGCACTCATACCACGGAGAACATTTTACACAGAGACAGTTTTAATTTTTTGATCGTTAATTGCAACTTGATCCGTTAATTGCTATCGTTACAGGCACTCGATCATTGCAATTGAAAAAAAACTACTTATAAATCGCAATTAACAATCAACGATTTCAATGGCGATTATAAATCTAATTACATTTTGCCTGACAGCGGTGTCGTTGTTGTTGTCGCCGCTTCGATCGAGCATAATTACCTTTGTCAAAGTTGCATGTATCGCGAATACGAAGACACCGTGACGCGAGACTATTTCAGTCGATATTGTAACGTCTCCGTTGCGAGAGTATTAGAGCGATGGCATTCGATCGACTAATCGCATACGTGCGTGTAGCGAGAAAAGTAAATTCGTAAACCGTGTCAAGGTTGGGTAACAACGATACTTCAATGTTTTCCTGAGACACATGCGGTGATTCTAATATCGTTTCTAGATGCTTCGCGGCCGAACGTTCGTCTCTCATCGAATCACCGAACTGCTGGGAAAGTAAAGGAATTAGAAACCGGAAACGGGCAACTCCGGAACGCCGTACATTCCTTTGCGAAACGCCATTTTAAAGATCGGAGACGCGATCGAACTTTGGCATTTTTCTTTACCTGGGCCTAAAATGTCTTTCGCCGAAGCGTTAAAAGCTAAAAACAGGATTTAAATTTTTAAAACAACGAATCCTTTTTCATGTTAATCGACCATTATCTAAATACGATCAGAGATGAAAATAATAATTGTGCTCGATTTTAGATATTTTGTAATTGTGAATTCTTAACGCCCTCTTGTAATTCAAAGTAAAAGAACATTATTCGAGTTTCCTGCAGAATAGACTCGTGGTTGAAATCACTTAAGGGTTAATTTAGATAGTTTCACCCTATCTGGCATGAAAGCGAGGCGTAGGAAAAACCGCGGAAACGTTGAGGATGGGCAAATGGTGTTGTTGTTTCGGAACAAGGCAATATTTCGTAGGAAAGGAGGATCGATCCGAGAGGAGAGCAAGGGCAATCGCGGCGGTTACAATGGTTGCGTTTGCGGAGAGAAAAGGTGATAGCCGTGACCGGTACGACGCATTGCTCCCTCTTTTCTCCCTTTCTCCTTCCTCGTGCGCACTAGTGAGAAAGTCACGGAACGAGAGACACGATCGCGAGGCACAGCACAAATCAAGGAAATGGAAGAGGCAGGCAAGAAAAGATGAGTGGGTGGGTAGGAAGGAGAAGGATTTCATGGGTGCGCGGCGCGGTTATTATTGCGACCGAGGAGATAGTAGGCCAACTTTCAGGATGAACATTTTTTTTGCGGAGCATGCTAAGTGTAAAAGTGCGAATCGATCGATCGAGCAAAGGAGAGGTCTTTCGTACCGATCGACCTGAATCCGACCGCGGTTACGATCGAAAATCCGATCGAGCTTTGCTCTTCGTTCCTCCGCGTTCGAACGAACGATCCTCGGGAGATGCTTCTTTTCCAGAAACGAGGTTTTCGTCCGAAACTTTGTGCAGACGGCTTTGTATTGCGATCGACGAGCAGAACGTGCTCGAGGAGACGCAGCAGCTGCGCTCGTAGACCCGACACATGCACCTATACGCGCGTATCGTGGTGCAAGACGACGCAAAGTACACGGTAAGATTCGTTGCCGTGGGGTTAGTGACCGTGAAAGTGCTTCCATGTAAAAGTAGAACGACAGTTTTTCAAAATCGTTGCGACGATTGCGTGCGCCCACAACTGACCTACTTGATGGCCGGTCGTTGCACCGCACCTCGGTTTCCTCGATCGTCTTGGACCCTTGGTCGTCCTCGAACGACGATACTCGTACACCGTGAAAGAAAGTGTGATTTCGTTCTAACAGCCGGTGCCGAGCCACTACGGTTTCGCGTGTTTTCTCGTCGCGCAACGGAACCGATTTTGCTTTTAATGTTTTGATCCTCTTTGCGACCATCGCACTGTACTCACGCATCATACTGGGTCAGACGTTTTAGTCAGCCCTCTAGACACCCGCTTAGTCAATGTCTTCTCATTCTACTTGCTCGTGCTACCACGCTACATTCTGGGACGAAAGGACTATCTTGCATTTTTTTATATACATATGATACCAACAGAGTTTTCATTTTAATGTATATTCGATGTAATTATACATGAAATGTCGATAGCTGCATATCTCGAAACAATCTTATCATTGAGCTTGTCTTTGAAGTTTCGATCAGTAAATCGACGATGATTAGCAGGTTTTGATTTTTGAGTTGACTAGATCAGGTTGAGACAAAGACCCAATTTGGATTCCCAGCAACACTTTCCCTTACAGCAGCAATATTCTCTTCTCGCGCTATGTCGACGCGTCGGAATGGCGGCCATGACAATCGAACGTTCTATTGTTTTTGTCGTAGAACCTTTGAGAAATGAAATTATCTCGCGTCGGTGTAGCAACGGCCTTGGCCATTTCTGAAAGTTCGCGGTAATAAACAGCATCGATCGTGCGTCGTCCATGAATAAAATCGACGAACACGCTTACTCCTT